GTCATGATAATTGAAAGACAGTCACGTTGGATATCACAATGCAAACATGTGTGTGAGAATAAAACCAAAGTTTTAACGACAAGCACCACGTTGCTTAATGGTCGTACGACATAAAATGTACTTACTTTTAGTAAAACAGCGCCGATTATTTCAGCTAAGAAAGTAACCATGTGTTACGATTTGTCTTATAGGACGACAATTTAATATCCAAAATAAGACTTAGGATATATGCAGTGTTTGAGAGAACTGTAATAATTACATAATATTATGTAGCGATGCACCGGTGTTCGAATCCCGCAGGCGGCGGGTACCAATTTTTCTAATGAAATACGTACTCAACAAATGTTCACGATTGATTTCCACGGTGAAGGAATAACATCGTGTAATAAAAATGAAACCCGTAAAATTATAATTTGCGTAATTACTGGTGGTAGGACCTCTAGTGAGTCCGCGCGGGTGGGTACCACCACCCTGCTTATATCTGCCGTGAAGCAGTAATGCGTTTCGGTTTGAAGGGTGGGACAGCCGTTGTAACTATACTTGAGACCTTAGAACTTGTATCTCAAGGTGGGTGGCGCATTTACGTTATGGATGTCTATGGGCTCCAGTAACCACTTAACACCAGATGGGCTGTGAGCTCGTCCACCCATCTAAGCAATAAAAAAAATATTTAGGTTGGTATTGAATAGTGTACACACACACTGCTATGGTTATAAGCATTATTTCCCCATATTAGACCCGATCAGTTTTAATTTTTTATTTTGCTTCAGTTCGTCTGCTAAATGAGCGCATAGGTTCATCCGACGCCAAAGTGGATGTTTTATCTCGTTTCTGTTTTGTAAACACGTGCAGTTCGTTAACCTGTGTTGCATTTCTATATGTACCTAGGTACGTGTGTGAGATGCATGTGTGCGAGTTTGAGCAACGGTGCGTCTATTTGGATTACTTTTGTTTCGTGACCTTATTCTCGTCAAATGTTAATATTTACTTTTCAATTATGAGGATTGTATAATTTTGTATATTTATTCTAATTCATTCCTAAAAACGATGTTATAGAGCTGGTAACAATTGACATACCAAAAAAAAATGTATAAGAAAATTACATTAAACTGTAGGCAGCGGCCTCTGGCATTGCTGATGTCCATGGGCGACGGTAACCACTCACCGCCAGGTGGGCTGTATGCTTGTACTACATGGGAAATAAAAAAAAACATTTACCGATTTTTATACGCCACCCGTAATGTAGTACATTGCGTTCAGCGCCAAGACAAACAGAAAAATAAAGAACATTACCGTCGTGATTTATAATTATTTTCATGTCAGTAATCACCAACGATGTTCGATTTTATTCTTATATATAGTTATACGTATGTACGAGTAAGCGTTCGATATAGACCGATATCCGGTATGAGACCCGGTGAGCCGCGAGATATTACGATTTTGTTTGTGATAATTACTTTTATTGCAATAAACCATGTTTCTTTTTGAATAATAAAGTTTGAGCGCGCTAACCTCAGTCATGTTTGAAATAGCTCGGATTTTAAAGAACAAGTTTTCGGGACTTTAATTTATATAAGTTTATTTTATTTTGGGATTTCAAGAAGATGTGCTTAAAAAGGTAAAAAAAATACCTACTCAATTAACACTAAAAGTGTCAGTCAAATTGACCGGTCTAATAAATTCACACATTTAAACGTTATAATACCGTTATTAAACTATAAGACATTCTCATATTAATGCATGTAATATTTTCTTCAATCTTCTACAACTTTTCTCTTTTCCAAGAAAATCCATCATTATCACATTTTACAATAAAAACGATAACTTTTTTAATTGCCGGTCGATTTGATCGAGTGCACGAGGAATGAGTATTCAAGAACTGTTAGTAGGCTTCGTGTTAAAGACCACTTAGAAATCTTAAGACTATTGAAACAAAAAGGCACAAAAACATTTTCCCATTCAATATAATCTCCTTTTTCTTTTATGACTATAAAATAAAACTCCATGTACTAAGTGATATTTTACTGTAGTGATTCCTGGCATCAATCGTGTGACAAAAACACTACACAAGTATTTCATTAGGTCTGTAGACAGACGAGCAAGCGACGCATCAATACCGCCGCCACCACCCCGCCGAGTGGTCACTGTCGTTTGAAAACGTCAGCACTTGCAGGGGTAGAGCTAAGCTCTTTTTTTTACCTATTCTAGTAACCTCGAAGGGTTATTCTAGATTCACCGAGTTAGTAGGTGAGCTCACGGGCTCAAACCATGTTGCTAACACTGGCCATAGGAAGAGCAGAGCTTCGCAGAATCTACCACCGGATCGGAAACGCGACCCACTACTGAGAAGTTCCGGCGAGAAACTCAGTGGGCTGCGTCTATGGGTTAATTTGGTAGCTGAGCCCTTCGTCGCAACCGACGGGTTCGACGAGGACGGTGACCTATGCTTGAGGTACCTAAAAGCGCTGTTAATGGATCGGGAGGATCCGTAATGACGTGCTTAGGGCGACGTCGACTGTTTACCATTCGGTCCACAGGATCGGGCATGAGCTAAGCTCTTGCGAATTCCCCTTTAAAAAGCCAAATTTATTCTCTTAGAACAGAATAAAAGAAAAAAAGACTAGTTAATGGTTATAATATACGTTCTCCATTGTTCTTCTTTGTTATGGCCACTCTAAACACAAACAAACCGTTTGAAAAATAACTACAAGCTCAATTGCGCAGTGACTTTTCTTAATCGACATGTTCTCAGAACGTGGAGATAAATTTAATTGACACTAGTGTATTAGCCAATTATATTTGTGAAACCGTGTGTAAAAAAAGATTAAAGAAATTATATTTGTTTGATAACAATAAAGAATTGTTTGGAGTTAAAATGATCTGTTTCTCTCCCTGATGCAACCTTCCACGAATGCAAGTCATTCCTACTTCCCGGATTCAGTGCGCTTATCTATAGTGCCTCTCCAGACATGAGTGTTACCACACGATGCTACTCTGGAATGAACTCTTCGGTGTTTAATAGCGCTGATATAATAGGTTGGGGAAAAAGTTTCTTCGCGTTTTTTAAGAAAATTCATATATATGTATATATCATAATATAGTTTATTTACATTTAACTAAAGTATGTAGGTACCATTTTGTTCGATAACTTTTTGCCATCTTCTAGAATAGGTAGACATGATCTCATTGCTATAGAAGTTTTGGGGCTTCTGATCGAAACATCGCGACAATTGGGTTTGGCAGTCCTCTCGTGATGTTAACCTGACACTGCCTAAAGAATTCTGAAGAGACCGAAACTTTTAATGATACCAAAACCAGCCTAACACAAATAGTATAACCAAACAGATTTTATTACAAGTTCATACATACTATAATGCGAAAAGACTTTCCCCCACTTATTATTCGAAGGAGATTGGATGACTCTTTAGCGGTAGGCTATTTCATTTCGGATCATCCCGATCTACTAACGGTGCTTTTAGGTACCTCAAGCACCGGTCACCGTCCTCGCCAAACTCGTCACTTGCGACGAAGGGCTCGACGAGTAAATTAACCCATAGACACGGCCCACTGAGTTTCTCGCCGGATCTTCTCAGTGGGTCGCGTTTCCGATCCGGTGGTAGATTCTTCGAAGCACGGCTCTTGCTAGGGTTCGTGTTAGCAACGTCGTCAGGTTTGAGCCCCGTGAGCTCACCTACTAGTTAAGGTTCCGCTGAAATAGCCTCCCAAGGCATTCAGCTTAGGTAGGAAAAAAAAAAAAAATTGGTAGGCTGTCGCTTGATTGTAATGTCGAAAAGTCTAAGAGGCTGGTGAAATCCAAGAAAATAACACAACAACACGAATACCTCATTAATATTCACTTCAATTAGATACAACGCAGTTTAGTTTAGCTCAGCCTTGTAAACGGTTTGTTCGAAATGCGATTATCGACCTTTTGTGTAACCGAAATAACGTTTAATATAGCTTTTGTTTTTTTAATGTTGCCGATTCGTTTTATTGTTTCCGCGAGTTCATTAACATTGCGATCTCGTAGTGTTATACGTTTTTGGAATGTTTATTTTTTTATAATACATAGATGACTAGTTGAAAAAGCAAAAAGTGCGTGACACATTGATGTAATGCGTGCCAGTTTGACCAAGAAATTAGAGTCAGTTTTCAATATTCTATCGACAAAGCTTGCGGCTTAACGGCATTTTCAAAATATTTTAGAACCGAGGTATACCTTAAATATTTGTTGCAAAGTACGAACGTGCATGGCCTTTGTTTGTAGTTGTAGTCGTAAATACACATTATCGTTAGTGTGTGTACCCGACGGATGGATCGGTTAGTAGCTACATTAGCTACATATAGCCTACATTGATGCGTGTACAGATTTCCCCGTCGCTTACGACGAAGGGCTCGAAGAGTAAATTAATCCACAAAAAGCCCACTGAGTTTTTCGCCGGATCTTCTCAGTGGGTCGCGTTTCCGATCCGGTGGCAGATTCTGCGAAGCACTGCTCGTGCTAGGGCCAGTATTAGCAACACTTCCGGTTTGAGCCCCGTGAGCTCACCTACACGTCAAGGCAAAGCTGAAATAGCCTCTCAAGGCTATCAGTATAGGTAGAAAAAAAATACAGATTGGTCACTCATACAACTAAGGGCGGAACGCAGTCGTACTTTTACAACAACTATACTAAAAAAATGAAATAATGTTTGCTTAAAGAAGTTTTTACTGGTGGTAGGACCTCTTGTGAGTCCGCGCGGATAGGTACCACCGCCCTGCCTATTTCTGTCGTGAAGCAGTAATGCGTTTCGGTTTGAAGGTTGGGGCAGCCTTTGTAACTATACTGAGACCTTAGAACTTTTATCTCAAGGTGGGTGGCGCATTTACGTTGTAGAGGTCTATGGGCTCCAGTAACTACTTAACACCATGTGGGCTGTGAGCTCATCCACCCATTTAAGCAATAAAAAAAAATTAATGTGTACCATAAATTTATTGAAACAATTATCTTAATTCTTCAGGTCATGGTAAGACTCACAGAGACGCGGCCAGCGTCAGGGCAACACATCCGATACCCGCCGCGTGTGGGCTCTACTACTTCGAGGTTAGAATCGTATCTAAAGGACGGGACGGGTACATGGGGATCGGACTGTCCGCACATGGAGTCAACATGAACAGATTGCCCGGTGAGTAGACAACTATACTGAAGAAATATAAAAAAAAAAACTGAATAGCTTAGATAAATAATTAAAACAGATTACTTTTTTTACTGGTGGTAGGTCATCTTTGGAGTCCGCGCGGGTAGGTACCACCACCCTGCCTATTTCTGTCGTGAAGCAATAATGCGTTTCGGTTTGAAGGGTGGGGCAGCCGTCGTAACTGTAACTATACTTGAGACCTTAGAACTTATATCTCCAGGTGGGTGGCGCATTTACGTTGTAGATGTCTATGGGCTCCAGTCACCACTTAACACCAGGTGGGCTGTGAGCTCGTCCACCCATCTATGTAAAAAAAAAACTTTATTAGATCTAAGCCTAGTTAATATCATCCATTATCAATATCCAAGTAAATATATAGCCGTACTTAATAAAATTAGGCTAATATATGATTAATTTGTGATAACGAGGAAACAATGAAAGGCCAATGCAGATAATCACCCAGTCCATCTTTAGCGGTAGGCTATTTCATTTCGGATCCTCCCGATTCATTAACGGTGCTTTTAGGTACCTCAAGCACCGGTCACCGTTCTCGTCGAACCCGTCGCTTGCGACGAAGGGCTCGACGAGTAAGTAACCCTCAGACACAGCCCACTGAGTTTCTCGCCGGATTTTCTCAGTGGGTCGCGTTTCCGATCCGATGGTAGATTCTGCGAAGCACGGCTTTTGCTAGGGTTCGTTCGTGCTAGCAACGTCGTCAGGTTTGAGCTCCGTGAGCTCACCTACTAGTTAAGATTACGCTGAAATAGCCTCTCAAGACTAAGCTAGGTAGTAATAAAAAAAAAACTTCGCTAACTTAGTCATAAGCGAGATCCAATACATATCTCATTAAAGGAGTTGGCCGCTTTCCTCCAGGGTGGGACAAGCATTCCTACGGCTACCACGGAGACGACGGCCATTCGTTTTGTTCTTCCGGTACCGGGCAGCCCTACGGACCCACGTTCACGACCGGAGACGTCATCGGATGTGGAGTCAACTTGGTCGACAACACTTGCTTCTACACCAAGAATGGACATCATTTAGGAATTGCTTTCAGAGGACTACCGGTGAGTTGTGGCTTTTTCATCGGCGTAAAGGGACAGATGTGCTCGCGGGACTTAGGAGCTGCATCACTGACGTAACTGTCATCACCCACCTTGAGGAATGTTGAAGTCTTAGTTCTATAGCACAACGCCTGCCCCATCCTTCAAACAGGAACGCGGCAGAAACAATAATTTGTTGTGAGTTTGATTCTTATTACACGACCATATTCCTTCATCGTGGAAGACATTAATATATGTCAAGTACATGTTTTATTAAAAAAAATGCTCCTTATCTGCGGGATTCGAACACTGGCACAGTCGCTCGATACGAATGGATTGAGTATCTTACCCTATAGCCCTCGACAATTCTGATGATTGAAGTTTGCGGTAGAAACAGGCAAGATGTCTCTGGTTCAGAATCTTTTTTTTTAGGGATTTTATGACCTGGTAACTAAGACCTTTAGGCCAAATCTTATTTTAATTTTAATGATAACTTTTTTATATGAAAAATGATATTATGAAATGAAGTTGATTATTATGAAACATGGCATGAAATGAAAAGGAATTAAAATGAAATGAAATGAGATGAAGTATAATCTCAGTAAAATGGTGGTCATTTACTGAGACTTTTTCAGTGGACTTTTCGGAGGATCCCGAGAAGTTACGTCCAGCGGCTTTGTTTCATTTTCCCACATTTGTGCACTTTCACAGATACTGAACAGTTAATAAACCACCGTTATTACACATTTAAACCAGAAGAAACACTAATTAGACAAAATAAAACAAATCACACAACTTCACTCCTAGCGTTTCCGCCAAAAAGTTCCTTGTTGAGAACCCAGCTTTCGTAATCACTACATAATATAAAACAAAGTCGCTTTCTCTGTCCCTATATCTGTCCATATGTATTCTTAAATTTTTAAAACTACGCAACGGATTTTGATGCGGTTTTTTTTAATAGATAGAGTGATTGAGGAGGAAGGTTTATATGCGGGTCGCTAGTGTTGCCAGTAAAAAACATTAACGAATTATTTATTATTTTCGCAGCCAAATTTATATCCGACAGTCGGGCTTCAGACGCCCGGCGAGGTGGTGGACACGAACTTCGGTCAGCAGCCGTTCGTTTTCGACATCGAGGACATGCTGAAGGAGCTGCGCGCCCGGACCAGGGTCGCCATCGACGAGTTCCCGCTGCCCGACGAGCAGGGACAGTGGCAGCAGGTGTTGCACAGGTCAGGATACCATACCTCACCACCACAAGGACTGGCTCTTAGAACTGTATGGATAAAGACAGAATGTGTTTGGATACTTTTCAATCGCCCCGTTCAAACTTCAAGTCATTCTCAACGATTTGAATCGCTTTTTGGACTCGGTTACCCTTAATTAATAGTTTCGAAGTCGTCGTGGCCTAACGGATAAGACGTCCGGTGCATTCGTGTTGAGCGATGCACCGGTGTTCGAATCCCGCAGGCGGGTACCAATTTTTCTAATGAAATACGTACTCAACAAATGTTCACGATTGATTTCCACGGTGAAGGAATAACATCGTGTAATAAAAATGAAACCCGCAAAATTATAATTTGCGTAATTACTGGTGGTAGGACCTCTTGTGAGTCCGCACGGGTAGGTACCACCACCCTGCCTATTTCTGCCGTGAAGCAGTAATGCGTTTCGGTTTGAAGGGTGGGGCAACCGTTGTAACTATAATTGAGACCTTAGAAACTTATATCTCAAGGTGGGTGGCGCATTTACGTTGTAGATGTCTATGGGTCCAGTAACCACTTAACACCAGGTGGGCTGTGAGCTCGCCCACTCATCTAAGCAATAAAAAAAAAAAAAAAAAGATCTTGTATTTTATAATATTATTTCACAATTGTGTCAATTTAAACCAGCCTGGGCGATAACGCCCCCTTGTGGGCGCTGCAAGCCTAAAGGGGGCGGTAAGAGACCCAGAAAAAAAGGGGGCGTAATGTAGAGGCTATGGAGGCGATTTGTAATTTCATCTAGGGGGACTCTTAGACATCGAATGATCTTCGCTGTAGTTGTTTTTGAGTAGGTGAAAAAATAGGGGCGTTAATAAATAATTTATTCTCAAAGTGGGCAGTAGACAAAATAAGTTTGGGAACCCCTGATTTCAACTATTCACAGAATGAGAATAGCATGATTTTATTATCGTTGATATCTATCGGGTGTCGGACATCTTGCGAGACCGGCTTGTATACGGATTTAAACAATGTATTCCACATGGAAAAATCTAATAAATCGATAAGTCATATTTTTTAATATCTGCTGTGAATGTTACTTCTGTTGTTTAATTGACTGGAACGTGGCGCTACCATTGTGGTTTGGTTCTTTATTGGGGTTGTATCTGTACTATACACAACACTAGGGCGTTTCCGTGTTTTGTTAAATAATGAAATTGTTGTTTCAGGATGGTGTCGACGTACCTGGTGCACCACGGGTACTGCAGCACGGCGCAGGCCTTCTCCCGCGCCACCGGACAGCCCATAGACGAGGATATAGCGTCTATTAAAAACAGACAGAGTGAGCTTCAACATTTACTTGTTTATTCCGGATGGATATCAACACGCAATAGCGGGTGCTTTTTTTATTGCTTAGATTGGTGGACGAGTTCACAGCTCACCTGATGTTAAGTGGTTACTGGAGCCCATAGACATCTACAACGTAAATGCGCCACCCACCTTGAGATATAAGTTCTAAAGTCTCGAGTATAGTTACAACGGCTGCCCCATCCTTCAAACCGAAACGCATTACTGCTTCACGGCAGAAATAGGCAGGGCGGTGGTACCTACCCGCGCGGACTCACAAGAGGTCCTACCACCAGTAATTACGCAAATTATAATTTTGCGGGTTTTTTTGAGACGATGTCTTTCGTTGGGCTCATTGTTTTAATTGTGTTGTACAAAAGTGATCCTCAACCTTAAACCGGAACGCATTATTGTTTTGTGGCAGAGAATGTAAGAAAGAATGGGTCTACGTAATTATGACAAAATTTACAAAACCAGTTTAATAGGTAGGCAGTGGCTTGGCTCTGCCCCTGGCATTGCTGAAGTTCATGGGCGACGGTAACCATTCACCATCAGGTGGGCGTAACCCTGTTTGCCTACAAAGGCAATAAAAAAAAATTTGATAAAATTTTCGTGTTCCACCCGGGGCTTGAACCTCATCGTTCGAGACGCCCAGTGACTACAGCGTCAGCGCGTAACGTTGCAGGGGTGTCGAAGCTGGTGCTGGCGGGGCGCGTGGGCGAGGCCGTGGAGACCACGAGGCGCCTGTGGCCCGGCCTGCTGGAGCGGGACCCCGACCTGCTGTTCCTGCTCAAGTGCAGGCAGTTCGTCGAGATGGTCAACGGCACCGACTGCGAGGTGAGCACACTACACAACCACACAACACTTACCCTCACCTCGATACCGCTGCGGCTTCCTCCCATGAGGGGGTGAAATCGACGGGGAACTTCTGGAAAGCTAACACTCATGTATTGCTGCTTACTTGGGAGGGGCTCCTATGCCAAGCCGTCAGGCTCGAAGGAATCACGACTAGCCTTATCAGGTCAAGGCTGAACCGGGAAGGTATTTATGGGATTAGGACAGCCCCATCAACCCCAGCTGCTTCCCTGTGTAGAAACGCACTTCCCACACAACACTCGACCTAGCGGAACTGTCCCTTGAACTAACGTGTGCGTGTTGCCAGGCGAGCGAGGACGGCGCCAACGGAGTGGCCACCTCCGTCATCTCGCACACCGGCCGCCCGCACAAGCGCAGCAACGGTACGTGCCGCTCCCGCCGGACTTTTTTTTAATAGATTTTATGGCCTGGTAACTAAGACCTTTAGGTCATGTCTTACTTTAATATTTTATATTCTTAATTTTATGAGAAATGATAATACGGAGTGAAATGAAATGAGATGAGATGACATGGAATGAAATATTATAATCCCAGTAAAATGTTGGTCATTTACTGAGATTTTTTCAGAGGACTTTTTAGAGGAACCCAAGAAGTTAGGTTCAGCGGGTTTTCTTTCATTTTCCCACATTCATGAACTTTCACAGATATTAAACAGTTAATAAACCACCGTTATTAGACATTTAAACTTGAAGAAACACGAAATAGACAGAGTAAAACAAAGCACACAACTTCAATCCTCGCGTTCCTGCCAAAAAGTCCCCCCGCCGGTCCCCCGCGGCGCCCATCGGCTCCCCACCGGCTCCCCACCGGTCCCCTACAGCACAGAGTAATGTACCGTTCCCCTCTGCAGGCGTGGCGGCGGACGCGGCGGAGGAGGGCGGCGGGCGCGACGTGGACATGGCGCCCGCAGCCAACGGTGACCACGAAGGTGACCACTGCGCTCTACACCCCACACCACGCTACACGATATATCTTGAAATTATTTGATAAAACAACAAAATAGGTTTTTGATTTTGTAATATCGTCACACGAGGTGCCCGAGGGCCAATATGTGTGCCTACCAACGAATAGAATTACAAAAAAGCACAATTTATATATCTAAAATTCGTTCATGGTTTTTCCTCAATGACAGAGATTAGAAAAAACTATATTTGAATTTTATCAAATTATTTCAACTGTGAGCGTGTGTGCAAGAAGGAACCGACTTGTTAACCAAAAGTATGGTGGTAGCTGTAGACGATGGCTGTCTTACTGGTGGTGGGGCGTTTGGTGCGCCCATACGGGATGGTACCATCTTACAGCCTATTTTTGCCACATCACTGTTACCTCCTGTTTGTCTCACGAAGTTATGTACCCAAAATAGCCATTTTACCATACAATGGAGACTTTGATCTCATGTATCAAGGTTTTATTCTAGTGGTGATGTCAACGGGCTCCCGTGACCACTTAGTTACTGGATGGAGCGCATGAGACCGTTACTGCCGCTCTGTGTGGGATCTGTTTAGTTAACGATTAGCTGGTTCCTTCTTGCACTGCTGGGTCTTCGGCTGCAACGCCGCGTACTGATAGAAATTGAACTTCAAACTATATATCGCGGGGTGAAAGAGTATTTGGTTTAAGCAAACTTTTTGCAACTTTACAGAAGAGCCATTTAAAGTATAAAATTTGTAAAAAATATCATAATAAAAAAACTTCTTAAACAATTTGAATGGAATAAACTTAATTGAAGTTCCATTAAAAAACATGGAACCGTTGATGGTACTACCAAATAAAAGATAAATGTCACGTAAAGTGAAATGGCGCTTAAACCAAATATAAATATACATATACACATAATATATAATTCGTATAAATTATTATTGACACGTAGTATATAAATGATACAACAACAACGACTAATATAAGTATTTTTAAAGTACAAACAATATAGTAAATCTATGTATATTATAATTTAATTTATGATTAATATAATTTGCACCCCACTCATCCGATCCATCCGCGCTCGAGGGCAACACCTCCCGGGCCCTCCCGTGTAAAGCGAATACCGGGCCTTGTATTATGTGGGGGATGTGCGGTGGGGAGCGAGGGGAGGCGGAGGGCGGGGGTGAACGTGCCCAGACACAAGGGCGTCTCACTCATGAGTGCACGAACGTCGCGACCATACATCCTAGTTTCATCGTCATCCAGTAGTGCATGCTTTAAGCTTTTATAATGTGCCGTGTTCGATCATTTGCCTGAGAGTAGTTACGGTAGAAGGAACAGACCAAATAATTTAAATGGTACTTTTTATTGTGTAAATCAGGGTGTTTGACTGTGATGTGGTTCTTTTAAAGTAACCTTTAAATATTATGTCGAGAAAAGCCTTTCCTCACATGTCATTAAGAGACATGTATTTGGTAATTGTTTTATATTTGAGAGTAATATGTTTTACATTTTCATCTCGACAAGATTAAGACAACGTGACCCCTTCCCCCACCAACCCCCTTCACAGGTCCTCAGTTCTTCCCCCTCCCCCCAACGCCCCCACTGGTCCTCAGTTCTTCCCCCTCCCTAGAACCAAAATGGCGATTAACTAATCCTGGAAGTTTACATCTCGTGATCGCTACAAGATTCGCCCTCCTCATCTGAATGAAATATGCAACGCACAAACCGAATTGATTATGTTCTACATAAATGTTAATTTAATGAGTTGGAGATCAGTCAAGTACCCTATTTACTGCGGCCACCATTGTAATTGTCTTTGTGATAATAAAATCGCTTTTATAACGCATTATTCTATTTGGGTCGCTAGATTGTAATGGCTAGATGGATTGTTTAAGAATAGTTTACTGTCAGATAATTATATACAATATTAGAACCATTCACAATTAGACATTCGGCCGTGTCGAGTGTGAGTGAGTGGTACTCACCGCATACACTGAGCAACGCAGATGCAACACAAGGCAGATAAATAATAGCATGTTTATTTAATGATTTTGCTTGTTTTTTCCATTTCCGATCCTGCAGACCGAATAGTAAACAGTCGACGTCATCCTAAACACGTCATTACGGATCCTCCCGATCCACTAACGGTGCTTTTAGGTACCTCAAGCACCGGTCGTCGTTCTCGTCGAACCCGTCGCTTGCGATGAAGGGCTCGACGAGTAAATTAACCCACAGACACAGCCCACTGAGTTTCTCGCCGGATCTTCTCAGTGGGTCGCGTTTCCAATCCGGTGGTAGATTCTGCGAAACACTGTTCTTGCTAGGGCCGGTGTTAGCAACACATCCGGTTTGAGCCCCGTGAGCTCACCTACACGATAGGGTAACGCTGATATAGCCTCTCAAGGCTATCAGCATAAGTAGGAAAGAAAAATTGCTTTATTATCAACACGTGTCACGTAACCAGGGCGCGGAGGCACGCCCGCCGGGGGGACCGCGGGATGGGGGATCAGCATGATCAGACAGTGTGCAACTGTAAAATGTCTATCTTTCTAAATTAATTGACGGGTGAGTTCACGACCCCCTAATGTTAATATTTTTACCAGAGCCCGTAGAAATTAACAACATAAGTGCCGCCAGCTTGAGATATGAGTTCAGTTTCAATTTTTACAGTATAGCGGCTGCCCCGCCCTTCAAACCGAATCGCGTTATTGCTTCACGGCAGAGATAGGCAGGGTAGTGGTACCTACCCGTGCGGACTCACAAAACGCCCCACCACCAATAGGACTGTCTTCCCGTGCGGGCTCTCGGTATATAACAACGAAAACATATGGACGTTGTTATTGCCGCTATCAACTATGATCCTCTACCGTTAAATACGTGAGCTTGCAGTCGTCATGGCATGCTTCTAAACGAAAACTAACTAACTAACTGCCATTACTCGACGTAGTTGTTCGCCTGACAATCCAAATTCGACCCTAATCATTGATAACTCAAAATTTAGATTCACTTTATATAATATTTTCTCTTCTGTTTTGTTATTGATATTTTGAAAAAATTCCTTTTAATGAATTCTATCCTTAAAGTTCGTCATAGCTAAAATCGGTAAGAAAACAGAAGTGAAAATTGCATATTAATTGTTTCGCATACCCGCTATATAGGTGGCACTATATAGATATTATTCATGGTGGATTTTACATATTGAGTATACAACGTGTTACAAAATTACCCCGTAAAAATATAATTAATTATCAAAGCCAAAAATTTTGTCAACCCTAGTATGCTGTCATGTCAGGGAACAAGATTATTTAACAGAAAAGCTTACGTACCTATTTTACTTAAAAATTGTCTACTTTAATAGTTTTTCTATTTTTTATTCATAAATGTTTGTTAATTCAATACAAGGACGTCATTAAACTCAAGTATTGGCTTCAAAACATGTCAGGTTGAAAAAAAAACGTATGTTGTCAATTTCAAATCTTCTAATGGATATCCTAAAACTGTTTCGAGTTTATTTTTCAAATTCTGAATTTCAAAACATTCTGTGTAGTTTACTCTTTAATTTTACTGAAATAGGGTTTGCACATCAGTGAAAATAATAATTTTATTTTTATTTTTTTGGGATATGTTATTATACAGCGTTACTACGGTTCTTAAATATTGTGAATGGATTCGCTATAAGGCCTCATTTAACCTCCTTTCTGCTTTTACGGGTAGTTTTGTAACACCCTGTATATTGAGAACATGATATACGCTGTACCTGGGTCTCATGGCGGAATGGCGGAAATTTTTTAATTGATATTTCGTAATTAGGTTAGGTCAAACTAAACAGAATCTTTCGTTAATACGAACGTTGCCGAATGTTGTTATGAAACTAGAAAAATAACCTTCAAATGCAAAAATAGAATTTGAATACTATTCATCGATGTTGGTTGCATTTCATTTGGGAATTAAGTTAGCAGTTCATATTTGAAATAGGATAGAGGAAAAAAAAAATGAAAAATAGAGGTGGAAGTTAACCTATTGTTTCATTGGAATGTACATCCCTTTGTCGCATAATAATGTTTGTCCTGAGATGAAATGTACGCCGGGATAACTATGACAATTGCAGCTAAACGTTGATCGTTCTAGAACAAATGCATAATTCAATTGAAAACAATTGAATTTTAAAATGCCAGTAAAGTGTCTCACCTAAGAAAGGTATCGGCAGTCGGTACAAGAGGAAAATAAATGTATGTTTTGCTGACGGTACGACATTCGACAACGTGCTTGTGTGACCGCACACACACGCGCACACGCGGTGCGAGGGAGCCTCGAGTGGGGTGTAGGCGTGTACCCTGTCTCTCTCCCACGTCCGCGTGCTTGCGTAGGTGCGAGGGAAAGAGAGAGAGAGAGAGAGTGGGCTGGTTGTAGATGAGGCGCTGCCGCTCGTGAAGGGGATGCCGGGGGTGACGGCCAGCGTCGCCGCCCTGCTGCCGGACCGGTTCGGTTCGTACGACAAACGTCCGTCTCTACCCTCACACTGATCTTACTCTTAGCTCAATTCATCACATCTAAATTATTTAACCACGTATAGGCTGTTTGACTGTCTTACGAGAACCAGCGGTAGGCAGCGGCTTGGCTCTGCCCCTGGCATTGCTCACGTCCATGAGCGACGGTAACCACTTACCATCAGGTGGGCCGTATGCTCGTCTGCCTGCTCGGGCAATAAAAAAAAACCATTACCCAATTGCTTACGCTTCGGAATATTGTCTTATTAGAATGGCCGCGAACCAGAAATAACCAACAGTCAAATACCCTATTGATGTCAACTATTAAAGTTGGTTGACTCGAATCAAGACTCGACATGCTTTTTTAATTGATTGATTCGAATCACAATTAGCGTCAGATCAGTATAAACGAAGGCACTGTCCGCGCTCCCTCTGTACCTGTCCCGACCGGCACCTCCTGTCCAAACGTCATTCGCGCTTATACGGAAACTACCTTTGATATATTCCGTGCTCCACGCGACCTAAAAAACGTATATTGATTGAAAAACCCTGTGATATTTATAAACTTGAGACTTGTTAGTTTAAAGCAGGGGTCGGCAACCTGTTTGTCCTTAAGGGTGCAATACTAAATTTGAAAATCACCGAGGGCGCATATTTTACAGATAATCAACAGGTATAAATAGGCATTAAAAAAACAAATTTTGAAAAATTGAAAGAAAATATCTTTTTCGGATTACTTGGCAGTTTTAAATGCATGGTTTACGCGTGGTCTATTCGATATACGATCACACTCTTAACAAAAATTACGTGCGTGTTATACGCACGCAGATACGCTCAAGGTTAGCAAACTGCTAATCTATGCACAATCCTAAACTCAACTGACTACTTGCTGTATATCGCCGTTTGACAAGGCGCCGTTTGATTCAGGTAGACACAGAACTTCGACGCGAACACTGAAAGAACTAATAGTCGAACACTCATTACTGATCATTCTCGACGAGTAAATTAACCCATAGACACAGCCAACTGAGTTTCTCGCCAGATCTTAATGGGTCGCGTTTCCGATCCGTTAGTAGCATCTGCAAAGCATTGCTCTTGCTAGGGCCAGTGTTAGCAACACTTCCGGTTTGAGCCCGTGAGCTCATGTCAAGGCGAAGCTGAATTAGCCTCTCAATGCTTTTAGCATAGGGAGAAAAAAAGATAATTCGTATTTGTTAAAAATTACAGTATTAGTCTCCGATTCGCGTATACTGTAATAGGAAGAAGGGTTCAATTATTGGCGCAGGTTTTTCAATCGGAATGTTTACATCCTCGCTGTTCTCCACATCCACCTTCCTTCCTACCTTCCTACCTTCAACCTTCGATTGTCAACTTAAATTAAATCATCCCTTTATCTTGATACCATCCGAATGTTACAATAATTATTCGCTTCAAAAGAAAGGTATGTACACGGCTTTGTACCATACAGCTTTTTATTTTATTTTAGTGTAGTGTTTTATTTTATTTTATAACGTGTTGGGTGTTTTGGAACGTTTTTCAGAAATTCTAAAATATATTTCCTTACGTGTTTGTTGTTGTCGGGACGTGAATGAATTAAACCTAAAGAACACGTATTTGATCTTAATTCATTTAATGATTTACAGAAATTGTAAAGTAAATTTTTCCTACTTCTACTGTTATATCTAATAAACAATTGTAAACTATTCAAAGCGAGAGGTAAAAAGGTTTAAAAAAAACCGTTCTATTTAAAAATTATTTCTTGAGAAACGTTAATGTTTTTAACCAGACACTGCATGAGTATATATTTCTTAAGGAATGTATAAGAGTAATGGTGTTTTTTCGTATCGTAGTGTGCATAGCATGCTGTGCTTCTTATTATGGTCTCCCACGTGGTGGATTCATTATATTATGATGTATATATTTATGACACCCCATACAACCACACGACGACTCGAACCCGCGTCGTCAGCTGACACTAATTGTTTGTTTTTGTATTTTTTTTTTCTTTACTCCTAATCAAAATGTTTTGTACGAATGTGTGTAAGAGCAATTTTTTTAAGTGTATGTCCAAAGTGCTTGACGATTATGGAATTATTATGGACGATTTTTCAATTGGCGTTGTGACGTCATATATGTTACTATTTTTCTCGTCTCAGACAGTCGCCTGTGCGAATTGTCCCATTAACTGGTGGTAGCACCTCTTGTGAGTCCGCACGGGAAGGTATTACCACCCTGCCTATTTCTATCGTGAAGCAGTAATGCGTTTCGGTTTGAAGGGTGGGGCATCCGTTGTAACTATACTGAGACCCTTAGAACTTATATCTCAAGATGGGTGGCGGCATTTACGTTGTAGATGTCTATGGGCTCCGGTAACCACTTAACATTAGGTGGGCTGTGAGCTCGTTCACCAATCTAAGCAATAAAAAAACCCAATATATTTCAATAAAGTCTGATTTGTAAGAAATCATATTTCTACAGTATTCGTATCTTGTCTCAATGTGTGAAAAGTGTTGTATCTGAACAATGAACCGTCATGTCGTCTTTTCGCATTAAAAGTGTACAATTTCCAAAACTATTCGAAATTGAGTTAATATGCGGAATCATTTGGTATCACCAGTATTTTTCTTATAAATATGACAGTAAAGAGCGTAGTTAAGTTTTAGTTTTTTTTATTTACCTATGTTTTGACTACTATTAACAAAATTAATACATAATTTTATCTTACTTTAAAAGACAGATAATGTAACTGGCAAAAAATAAATGTTGCAAAGATGATTAATATTAAAAATACTCACATGTTAATAAATCTTTAAAACGCTCTCCCATAAAATTAGTATGTTTTGAGATTATATAGTTTTAATGTGAGAAGACTATGTGTGTGGGTTGCATTGTGGGCCCGACGTGTGAACTGCGGCGTGGCGTGTTGTGTGCAGAGGCGGACGCGAGCAGCCAGCGCGCCTCCGTGGAGAGGATGCTGGCCTTCGGGCGCGAGCTGTACGCCATGAGCCAGAAGCTGAGCCAGGACCTGTACCACAAGTCCATGCTGGAGGTGACGTATGGCGGCGGCCGGTTGTGTAATGTCGGTCTGGTACTGTTGGTCGCATTGAGTGACGTGCGTGTGTGTCGCAGGACGCCTTCAGCCTGCTGGCCTACAGCAACCCGTGGGACAGTCCCGTGGGCTGGCAGCTGGAGCCGGTGCGCCGGGAGGCTGTCTGCGACGCGCTCAACTCCGCCATACTCGGTGAGTTCTACATCTTAACCAATCATCTTATTAGTAACTAGCGGCCCGCTTCGGCTCCGCTCGGGTCTTTAACAAAAATTTCAACGATATTTGACGTTGTTTTATTTTTTATAATAAAATAACACTTACAGTGGCATAACTATAATAATTAGACATATGCTGTCGCGACACTTTTTGTAAATAATAATGTGTACTACAATTCTTTTTTTTTTTTTTTTTTTATTGCTTAGATCTGTGGACGAGCTCACAGCCCACCTGGTGTTAAGTGGTTACTGGAGCCCATAGACATCTACAACGTAAATGCGCCGCACACCTTGAGATATAGTTCTAAGGTCTCAGTATAGTCACAAAAGTACAAAGTCGTAGTACATTATTTTATTCTATCATCAATAGTTTTCGCAGGACATGCGATGTAAAGAATAGTTTGGGTAATTTTTTTACACCTTGGGTTACATTATTAGACTTTTAGTAAGGATTCCTAATTTTTTTCAAAAAAAATACTAGCCTATGTCACTCGGGAATAATGTAGCTTCCAAACAGTGAAAGAATTTTTCAAATCGGTTCAGTAGTTTCGGAGCCTATTCAATACAAACAAACAAATATTTCCTCTTTATAATATTAGTATAGATAATGAGATTGAAGTGGCACACGTATTAATTTAATTGATTAGAAACAAACACGTAACATAAAAATCTGTATTTTTTAAGAAAAATGCTTATTTAGTGGGATGACCCTCGGCCACTGTAGCCGCCTGCGCCGCGCCGATCCTGTGTCGGCTGTGTTTACTGGTGGTAAAACCTGTGAATCCGCGCGAATGGGTACCACCAGCCTGCCTATTTCTGCCGTGAAGCAGTAATGCGTTTCGGTTTGAAGGGTGGAGCAGCCGTTGTAACTATACTGAGACCTTAGAACTTATATCTCAAGGTGGGTGGCGCATTTACGTTGTAGATGTCTACGGGCTCCAGTAACCACTTAACATTAGGTGGGCTCTGAGCTCGTCCATCCATCTAAGCAACAAACAAACAAAAAAACTATATGTTATGTTCGGACATGAGCCGGTCAGAGGGCCCGCGAGTGTTGGCTCTACTTAACTTGAAAAGTGACTTTTAATATTTTACCCATGTGTGTAGCTTAAATCAAGTATTATAGCTTGAAAAAGACTCGGCACTATAGTGTTTAGACTAGGGTTAAGCTTTGGATATATATTCGTTGCAGAGTCCCAGGGCATGCAGTGGTCGTCCCCCGTGGAGGCCTGCGTGTCGCACGCGCGCTCCCTGCTGCGCCGCATGTCGCGCGCCGCCCTCGGGGCCTGCGCCTTCGCCGACCTGTCCGCCCTGCTCGCGCGCTGAGCCCCCGCTGAGCCCCCCGCCGAGCTCCCCATCGAGCCTCCCACCGAGCCCCCCACTGAGCCCCACTCGGCTCACTGACAATAACCTTAATAAACAAGTGTTTAACCTCAACCTGACAAAACCAACGATTAATTAAGTTGGTCATGCAATATTGATTAAATACATAACCGTTATGTATATGAGAATAGACGTTCTAATAAGTGTTAAGCTATTCGTGAACATCGTTAGGGGGGACATCCGGGGGGCGGCCGGGGGACGGCAGGGGGACAGCCCGGGGACGGGTGGGGACGGGCGCGTCTTCCTTGTCTGACCATTTAATATTAACAAAGCGTTTTGTACAGCCATGAGGATTTAAGTACGTGACACATGTCACTTTGAAAACTACAAAGTTATAGACGAATTCAAACGAACATAACTCGTATTGTACATACAAATAAAGATAAGATTGCCGTGTACGCGACCCGCTTGAACGCACACGCAGGCCTGCAGCACTGTATCGTTGGAGCCGTGCGTGTCGTGGCGCTCCTATTGCGATGGGAGTTAGTGTCATTATCGCGTGGCACCGACAAGTCGACTGAGAAACGTCTCGAGCGCCAGTTTATACAAATAAATATATTATGTGTGTTCATGTATTTTTAATTATCGTATTTTACACGTCTCTCGATGCGGTATGATAATGTATCGATAATCTCACGGTCGAATTAATCTGGCGTTTGAGATATATAATTAAAAAAAAAAGTGATAAAAATGTGTTGTAAAAAGTGCTTCTGAGTAAACGATAAGGACGTTTGATATTGTTTAGTAACGGTGGCGAGGGGGCCGCGGGGACTCGGGCCTNTGTATTTTTAATTATCGTATTTTACACGTCTCTCGATGCGGTATGATAATGTATCGATAATCTCACGGTCGAATTAATCTGGCGTTTGAGATATATAATTAAAAAAAAAAGTGATAAAAATGTGTTGTAAAAAGTGCTTCTGAGTAAACGATAAGGACGTTTGATATTGTTTAGTAACGGTGGCGAGGGGGCCGCGGGGACTCGGGCCTGCCGTCGCCTGTGGACATCGGCAGAGATGCAAACTAAACATTTGTAGCAAATGTCGTTTTAACACTTCGCGCATCATAGAGTGCACGTTGTGTTTAAGACGACGGTGTAGGTTCAGTAAGGAGCTCCCGCTGCCCGGTGGCGCAGGCCCCGCGGTCAGTGGAGCCCCGGGCGCCCCCTCACTAATAGTGTTAACAGTCTCGTAGTATAATAATGCTAAGAATCATGAATTAATAATTAAAAAAAAAATCGTCGCTGCTTTTTACGCTCGTAAGTTTTTTAAATATTATTTTTGTTCCAAATGTAAATTTGAAGTCATTTTAATTTGAACTTTGCTAACTTACCTCACGACAGTGCGAGACTCGGCTGAAGCTGGCAACACAGCGACGCTCGGTGCGGTCCGCTCGAGGCTGGCAACCCTGGCCGCGTCTAGTACGCACTTGGCTAACTCAGTTCGTTCATTTTCGTGTCGTGCGAATGTTAATCGCAATAATTGCCTTTTTTAAATAATATTTTTGTACATATTTAGCGATAAAAGCAGTATTAGATGAATTTTTGGTGGATTTGGCGTTTCACTACAATGTACAGACACTGCAGGACGCCGCTGGACTGTCATTCGTTTTAAAATAAATTAAAAATATGTTCGTCCTCCGTTTCATCTCACTCGACTGTATCTGAACGCAAGAGGTAGCTCTGTAATGAGTAATTAGTAATTAATGATATGATGATCCTTACGGTATAATACATGTTACTGTGTTGTGTGCCTACACACGTGGTCACACGCCCATAAGTTTTGTGCCTTACAGTTTCTGCGACCTCTATCGACAGTTTCAATTGACAAGTTCAGAATATTGTGGTTGGGTTGTGTTCAAGAATTCTCTTCTAGCTTTATATTCTATCTAGTGCTGTGTTTCCCAACCTTATTGTGCCATGCCCCACTGTAACATTTCTAAAATTTTTATGCCCCCCCCATACATAATTTTTAACATTAAAATTTTGATTTGTTCACTTAAAAACATTAATGACAGGTTTTAGGAAGAAGTCACTATGAAATTGTTATCAAAACACACACTAAGTAATACTTCAAAACTAATAATAAAAAACTGAAATTCAAGATCAAAATAATTTTAATACAGATTTTTTTATATTAATTAAGTCGGTTGCCCCCCTTAACTATCAAATCGCCCCCTAGTGGGGCGTGCGCTCCACATTGGGAAACACCGATCTAGTGTATCCATGTAATTATATGTATTAAACTATTAAAGCGATATATTATAAATTGCGATTCCGAGGGTATGGGACGCGGCCCGTGGGCTGCTGCAAGAGTGGCCTCCTTCAGCTCGTCTGTGCATTGTGAGATCATATTGAACCAATGAGTACGAAGTAAAAGTTCTATTGATTGATCGCCGTCGACCCGTGTGTACTGTGTAAAGATGAGTCTACAATATTCTTCGTATTGTATTGTTTTCTTTTTTTTAAATAATATATTGTGTTTAAACGGTTGTCGCAGTTTTATTTTCATTCCTCAACTTCGCGGTCCGGTAGTGGCTAAAAGCCAAAGACACTAGCGCTTTTGTAGTGCGCTGTAAGACGGCTGCATGTGTGTGCACGTGTGCCAGGTACAATTTTAGTAAATACGGACCTGACACGTGCTCGCGAACCACTTATTGTTATGTTATATGGTTACCAAAAATAAATGCTGCCATTCTTGAGATATGAGCTTTAAATACAGCTTCACGGCAGAAATAGGCAGGGTGGTAGCACCACCTACCCGTGCTCACAAGACGTCCTGCCAACAACAATGATGTTTATTAATAGTGCCGCGTGTTGTCGCACGTATGAGTTCCATCAGACGCTGTACGGCAGCTGTTAAAATCGATGCTTCTACGTAGCTGGCGATAGTCACAGTCATGGGACTGTAAATACGGATGCTAACGAAATGCTTACTAAGATTCACTAGCTCTATTTATTATTAGCGACATAATTTGCATACGCACAGTGATCAGTGTGCTTAGTGCGAGTTTTCTGACGTTCTCGATAGCGTAAAAGTTAACCTAATATTGTATGCAGTTGGAACAGTGCCCCTAGCGGCCAACGTAGGCAAACGATCCCACTTCATACAAAATTGAGCTAACTTTTACGCTATCGAGAACGTTAAAAAACTCGCAGTAAGCACACTGAAACACGTAGCTTTTTTTCCCCTACCTATTCGCTGGTAGCCTAAGAGGCTATTCAGCTACGCCCGGACGGGCAGGTGAGCTCACGGACTCAACCTGAGAGAATTTGTTAACAAAAGCTCTAACAAGGGCAGTGTTTCGCAGAATCTACCACCGGATCGGAAACGCGACCTATTGAGAAGATTCTGCAAGAAACTTAGTGGGCTGTGCCTATGGGTTAGTTCACTCGTCGCTCTCTTCGTCGCAATCGATGAGTTCGACGCAGACAGTGACCGGTGCTTGAGATATCTAAAAGCATCGAGTGGACCCGGGGGACAAGACATGTTTCGTTTTTTTTTATTATTGCTTAGATGGCTGGACGAGCTCACAGCCCACCTGGTATTAAGTGGTTACTGGAGCCCATAGACATCTACAAGGTAAATGCGCCAACCACCTTGAGACATAAGTTCTAAGGTCTCAAGTGTAGAGATATCTTCTAATCTAATCTATATCTAAAGGGAAGATCTTCCACCGAGCGGGTGATATTGCTCAGTAGACCGACGGTCCGAATGTTGTTATTCGGAACTTGTTTAAATGCGCTTTATCTTGAAAATGTCGTAAGCGAGATTCAGGCATCTGTCAATTATCTTGCGTTGTATGATGGCTACCCGCCACATCAAGTATAGTTACAGCGGCTGCCCCACCCTTCAAACCGAAACGCATTACTGTTCACGGCAGAAATAGGCGGGGCGGTGGTACCTACCCGCGCGGACTCACAAGAGGTCCTACCACCAGTAACGTTGCCCCGTCGCAGTCTTTCTGCGGCTTCTCGAGTTCATGAAGTATCATGCCATCCGTCTTGCAATATTTCAACTACTCTGATGCCTTACTGCTATTCTTAGCCACTGTAATTCCAGGATAGGAGCTAGCTGTCGTGTATGTAAGGAATGCTGTAAGCCTGCACGAGTGGGTACTAATCTTCCATCTAATTTTGCCGCGAATCAATCGTAGGTTCTGGTTCGTGTGTCAGAACAGTCGATGTATGTAATGCCATTATGACTTAATCTACCGATAGACACCAGTCTATCAATGAATTGAATATCGATCTGGGATCGCCAGAGCTTATGGGCGACAATGACAACTTAACATCAAATGGGCCATTTCATTGTCCTCGAAGTTTATAATAGTGATAACATAAACTAATCGAAGTTGAACTATTAAATATTGAAATTGTGTAACTTGAGAAAAGCTTAGTTTATTACTTGAATTTTATGTATATTATTAAGATAGTGTAAGTAAAGGTTAAATCTTTTAGTGATTATAAAATATATTTTTGTAACAATTCTTGATTAAGTACATTAGAATTTTGTGTAAGTATATAAATTATTAGTATCTAGATTTAAATAATTGACCGTAGGTCTGGTCCGTAAGTTTAAAGTCGCTCAGCGTGCTATGGAAAGGTGTATGTTCGGAGTTTCTTTGATTGATCGAGTCAGAAATGAGGAAATCCGTCAAAGAACCAAAGTAACCGACATAGCCCTAAAGATTAGCAAGCTGAAGTGGCAATGGGCCGGACATACGTGTCGCAGAACCGATGGCCGATGGAGCAGACGTGTTCAGGACTGGAGACCACGTACCGATTAGCGCAACGTTGGGCGTCCTCCTGCCCGGTGGACCGATGTCTTGCGGCGATAAGATTAGATGCGGAGGCGGAGGATCGTTAATTGTGGCGGACTATGGGAGAGACCTACAACCAGCAGTGGAGAGATACAGGCTGATGATGATGATGATGAGATTTAAATAAATATATATAAATAGTTAGGAGTTACATATGTTCTCAGCCGCTGCCGTATGTGTGAGAGAAAGATAAGCCAGATAGACTGGCGCCGTAACGCGTTATGTAACGAAGTGGCTTCCCTACCCATAAGAAGTTATCACTTCAAAAAATTGAAATGCATCTATTATCAGTCTATTAAATTATCCATAACCTAAACATTTACAGATTAACTAAAAAACATACCAGTTTCACTAATTGACTCACAGCTTTGCGTTCACCTTGGCAGTTAAAATTCCAGTTTCCGTATAACTGACCAATCAGGTCGGTTTTAGGTCATTATTCCTACGTTATCAGTGTTCCAACAGAGACAAGGGGGCAGCGAGGACGAGAAATTGAATGAAAACATTGAATATTTATTCTGAGAAGACGCCAGTGCACGGTTTAGGGTTTTCGTTCAAAGAATAAAATTATACCTAGATTAGTCTGATTGTATTCAAAGACCCACCCTCGCTTCGCTTCGGAAACATTAAATTTTATTATGAATAGTTGAGTCCCACGATGTTACTCGCGGTTATTGTCGTACCGCGGGTGACGACGCGGGGCGAAGCTACTCTAAAAAAGTAACCTAAGTTGCTCCTTATATCATCAGTTACTTATCAGTGAAAGTCCCGTCAAAATCGGTCCAGCCGTTCCAGATTAACCAGAACAAACAGACAGACAGACAAAAATTGTAAAAAATGTCATTTTGGTGTATGTAACGTATATATTATATTCATATGCATGTAGTAAAAAGCGGTTGTTTCAATATTACAAACAGACACTCCAATTTTATTTATATGTATAGATAACGAAAACTGAATCGTGTATCATGAAAGCCAGGCATGTGTTCAAAACTGAATTCTAAGAATGAAATTTTCAATATCTTTATACTACTTTGTTTTATAAAAATATTGATAATGTTACCTTATCTATAATAAGAGAAACGACATAGGAATCTCCCGGTGAGCGAATCTTCGGAACTTGGATACAATACGAAATGTTGCTAAGGCGGTTCAGGTGTTCATAGGATTTTGCCTCTGATATGATCACAGTTGATTAAAAAATCAGGTGATTAAAATCGTGTGTAAAAACGTCACCAGTAGTTTTTGTGTAGATATCAAGTGGATCGGCCGTTATTCTACCGTTTGACGGTATATTTTACAATATGGCTACAACTTAGCCACATAATAAATGCTTACTTGGTATTGATATTTTTTAGAACATTTTGTTTACAGATTCTAATATAAAGAATTAGTGTTTAAAAAAGAGGACTGATTGATAAATTTAATTTAGTTGTTGATTTTCTTCCTATTGTAGGATTTTTTTAGCATCAACATTAACATTTTATATAATTTAACATCAGGAATGTGTCACAGAACGTCTACGTATAAAAGTTATTCTATGACCTCCACCGGATCATCTTGTGGCTCTCCTTTTAATATTTGATCTGCATATTTATAAATCCAAGAGAGAGAATGTTCGCAGCATCCCCGGCTGTGTTGATTTATAGTTTATTTCATTTCCTATGAACGCGTCATCTCGACACTGCACAGCGGCGTTGAATATACTTAAATGTGCTGAGAAATACACATTTATTCGTACCTATGTCGTCCTTCCAATTGTTTCGGGACTTTTTACTATTTGTCTTGAGCTAGTTAATTTTATATATAACTAGCGACCCGCCCTCGCTTCGGAAACTATAATTTATTATTGATTTCTCCACTATTTAATGGATATCCTCCTTCCTCTTCAATCACTCTATCTATAAAAAAAACCGCATCAAAATCCATTGCGTAGATTTAAAGATTTAAGCATAGCTACATAGGGACTGATATAGGGACAGAGAAAGCGACTTTGTTTTATACTATGTAGTGAAGAAAGGTGGACAAATTGAAAGGGGTTATGTAAAGAAAAGTATACGTAATGTGCATTATAGTTATTTTTACATTTTGTAAATTCGGTTGAAATTTGAATACTGGGAAGTGCAAGTTACAACCTTCCACTGCTGAGCAGGTGTCTCCGACCAAGTGATTTATAGTGTGGTCCATGCTGGCCATATTTCGGGCAGACAGCTACATAGTTGTTTAATATTTTTAAATAATTTCGTCTTTTTGTTGGTACAAGCGTTTGTGATTCACATCGCGCCGGAGTCAGTGGAGATGACAAAGTTAATGTCAGCTCGACAGGCAAAATTATTAATTACATTGGGAGAAGGACTAAGGCGGCAGAAATAGACAAGGGATTTCAGGTACCTACTGAATACATCTCAACACAACAACAAAAACATTCAACATCTTATCGTATTGGAAATCTCAATGAGAATCGTGTGAATCGTTCAAAAACTATGAATGTTTAGATTTACATTTTCCATTCTCTTTTGTAGGAAGATTTTCTTGCAATATTGTGAGCAAGCAGCTGATGTATTTTGTTTTGTTGAATGTATTGATAGCGTTTCCGCACTCGACACCAGAACCAATTGTGTTTGTGTTGTAACTATTTTTATGAAATAGCCCGTGGAATGGGTTTGCAAGTTTTCTGTTTCTGAGGTAGACGACCGATTGTATACACTTAATAAGCTTCTTCCAATCTCTTCATTCTATTACATTATTCGTGAAATTCAAACCATGGCCTAATCGCATCGCTGGGTAGGATTAAATCGGGCGCATGTTGAGGCCTGGTGTTCTTTATATTGCTATGCAATAATAATAAATAAATATTTACTAACAATCACGCCACGTTAGCTGGTCCCGTGGTAAGTTCGTAAAGAACTTGTGTTACAGGTACCAGATAACGGAAATAAATGTAATATTTTTATTATACACATACATATATTTAATATACATCCATAACCCTGGAAAAGACATTTTTATATTTATCATACAAATATCTTCCCTTGGCGGGATTCGAACCTGCGACCCCCTTGTGTAGTGACCATGTCACTTACCACTACACCAGACGGCCGTTATAATAATGAAGTAGCATCGAGCACACAATAAAGTTAAACCATGCATTTATTAACACTTGAAGCGCATGATTATCTGTCCCCTACAAATGTAAGGTCACCTGGCTATCTACTCCAATATGAATGTAAATAAAACATTGAACTTATAATAAAATAAAAATACACATTTATATCTTAATTATAATTACACATGGCACAAAAATAAAGTGAACAAGCACCAATTTATTAATACTAAATATAACACTATCTCTTAGTCGCAGGGCACGTATCCATCCAAACCATATCGACAGAGGAGATCTAGGAAGAACTCTCCTTTGTAATGTGAAGTAAGGTCGGTGACTCTCAACTCGCGGTCTAGACTCATCGTAGACGAGGAGTTACTAGTTACAGGAGGCCATCTGACTGGTACCAGCTTTGTTGGTGTTGGTGTTGGATTTCTGCAATATATAGATGTAATTACTATATGCAGTTTTCATACCATCATCTAGTGAGCATAAAAATTATATTATAAACTAGCGGACCGCACAGACGTTGTCCTGCAAAAATTTATTCAAGTTGATCCAGTTGTAGTAGAGATAAATAACCTAGATACCGACTGCAGCGCCATCTGCCGGGCTAATTTGTAAATCTAAACAATTCAGGTCGACCCCCAAACGCATACAAGAAAATCATTCAAATCGGTCCAGCCGTTTAGGAGCTCAGTGACAAACACACGCACAGGAGAAATATATTTAAAAATATTTCCTAAAATGATTTTTAAGCTTCGCCTATGGTAATACTGTACTTTCCGTTTATATGCGACTTCTGTCTATGGAGTTTGAAGTACGTAATTGCTTACAGTTTACTTTAATCAAATAATAGACGGAGACACGTTGAGAACATCATGAAGACGATTGTCTAATTACGAATCGCGCGGGTGATGAATGGGATTATTTGGTAGAAACATTGAGACTTGGATGTCATGTTTTACGACAGGAGTTTGCTTAAATTGCAAGTTTGGTTTTATTACACGCCATTATTCCTTCATCATGAAATTCAAAGCGCATATCGACTAAGCTTTACGACTTTAACTATAGGCTTAGTATCTCTATTCAGTTTTAGTTAAGCACATAATGCTATTCCTCCAACGTGAAATCGAATTAGTACGTTTTAAGAAAACTTTATAATGCCTTACATTATCTACTTAAAATCGGTACCTGTTTCAATATACACTAACGGCAAAGTCACATAGCTACCGTTGCCATCATATTTTAGCCCATAAGCACAAATTCCATAAAGAGCAACCAAAAACCTGCAAGGTCAAACCCGTTCTTAGACTCGGATTAACTCTGGTCAGCAAGGTGGCCCGATTTGATATTCTTTGAAATTTAAATTAGCGATTACACTCACCCGTACTTCATAAAATTTGTTAACAAAGTTGTTATCCGATCGATGAACATTCGATCCGGCTTCGATAGAACCATCGGAACTCCTCCAGGTTTGAAGATGTAAAAAATGTCATCCGAATGTGACGCTCCTTTTAGTCGGCTTTTGTACCCAAAAAGGGCTTTAGCAAAATTCCTGTTGCCCAAATAAGAAAATATATACGAATACACGGGCTGATCAGAATATTTGACCATCAGCTTCGAAAAAGCATCCGCTGTTGAATACGCCATCCAATCAGAATAAAAGTTTACAACGCCTTGAACAGCATCTTTGGTAATCGTTTTATTCATAAAATAATAAGATCGAAGTTTGCCTTCTATAACCTTCTTAACTTCCGGAGAAGATTGCGAAAAAATCGAAGGTAATTTCTGATTAAAATTTTCTTCAAAATCTGCAAAAGTCCTGTCATTGTTAAGTCCATAAAATAGCATTCCTTCAACATCCATAAAGCCTGATATAATTGGTACTTTATTGAAATTACCCGACACAATTGTGTCGCGTGGAGTATCATGGAAGAATGGATTAGAGAAGTTGCTGTCAATACAAGGAGAGTACTTAAAATATCGGGGATTTATCGATGTATCTCCGCAGTTATTCAAAAGATCTACAATATTCGCAGTTTTAAACACCTCATAAACTTCCTGTTCATTAGTAACTTTTCTGAATTTCTCAGCGTCTTCAAAAGCTGGTTTCTTGGATTCATGATTAAAAGCCCAAGGTGCTAAAGGCGTTCCACTTATTAAAATAGCTTTATGAAACAGTCCTTCACTGGATTTCGATAGCATGTGCATTCCTGCGGCGCTGGCTCCGGCACTCTGACCAGATATTGTCACGTTGTCCGGATCTCCACCGAAAGCTGCTATGTTATTCTTTATCCACTTCAAAGCCGCCACTTGGTCTTTTAAGCCCAAGTTAGCAGTATTATTTAAACATAGAAATCCTAGCACTCCGACTCTGTAATTTATAACAACAACTACAACATTCTTCTCGACTAGAAATTCAGCGTCATAATGCCATTTGCTTCCGTAATAATATGCCCCCCCGTGTATGAACATCATGACTGGTAGCTTGTGACCGGGCTTAGCTCCTTGAGGAGAGTACACGTCGAGTTCTAAGCAGTCTTCTGTTCCAAATCTCAGCAATGAAACGGCTTGCGAACATGATCCAAAACGGTGTACCGCGTCGAACACTCCTCGCCACTTGGGGGGTTTCTTTGGTAGCTAGAAAATAAAATTAGAATTAAGCAATAAAGTCATAACAAGTTCCTTTTCCAATTGATGAGCATCAAGTGATTAGTACTGGAAACGTCGAATGGAAGATTTTGTACAGAGATATTTTATTTCCTTTGATAGGTCTAAGATTCGGATGTCCAGAATTTGCATATAATAAGTTTATCTTATAAATTGTTTATTGTAGCATAAGTACAAATTGCGTATTTATTTTTTATGTATGAAATAGGAATATCATTATTTTGTTGTTATTTAAGTATTCTATTTGAAGCGATAAGTACACCGTGGTCAATTATTTTCCGTACGAAATGATTTTTGTCCACCCGATGATTGTCTGTAGGGAATCGCTCTTAGTGATAAGACCACCTAATGTATCTTTGTATTTAATGTTTTGCGTTTGGGTTTATTTTATATTGATATACATACTCTAGTTTGTTAGCATCAAAATGCTAGACCGATAATGGCGGGATTTCTTCTGATACATGTCAGCTGTCATGTGATAAGAAGCTAGCAGTAGTAGTTTAATTTTTCCAACTGGAAAGGCAAAGGTATCATACCATACAGCTTAATCTTTTATATTTTATATTTTTTTTGTATAAAAAATGATATTACGAAATGAAATGAAGTTGATTGATATGAAACATGGCATGAAATGAAAAGAGCTGAGATGATATGGGATGAAATATAATCTCAGTAAAACGGTGGTCATTTACTGAGACTTTTTCAGTGGACTTTTTGGAGGATACCGAGAAGTTACGTTCAGCGGCTTCGTTTCATTTTGCCACATTTTTGCACTTTCACAGATACTAAACAGGTAACAAACCACCGTTATTACACATTTAAGGCTGAAAAAACACTAAATAGACAAAATAAAACAAATCACATAATTTCACTCCTCGTGTTCCCGCCAAAAACGATAAGAAGCCAACTAACAAATAATTCAAAACTGAGGAATTCAGATTCCGCTTAGACTACCATACCCATACAGAGGGGAACATTTTTATTGTGTGTTATGTAAATGTATAATGTATTATATTGTGGTGTTGTGTTTCTGTTAAATTACATTGGGCGATACATCGACGTTTTTGCGCAATGAAGAAAGATGTATTGCAAACACAACTGTCAGTTTAATTTCAAGTATTAGCTTCGTATATTAACGTATATTATATACGTACTTAATAGCACTTCGTAAATCAAAGTCGTCGTGGCCTAAAGGATAAGACGTCCGGTGCATTCGTATCTAGCGATGCACCGGTGTTGCAATCCCGCAGGCGGGTACCAATTTTTCTAATGAAATACGTACTCACCAAATGTTCACGACTGGCTTCCACGGTGAAAGAATAACATAGTGTAATAAAAATTAAACCCGCAAAATTATAATTAGTTTTTTGAACAGATGACCACAAGTTCTATATATGTTGATAGCTAAGTTTTTTGTTAACCTAAAAATCTCGGTCGATTATTCTCGCCAATTATCCACGGTGATTGATTATAAGTTACTAAGCCGACATCCACCCAGCTACCGCACAACTAACAATGTCAATTTCACATTCTCTGAGGTTTTCGTAGAACGAAACAATTGTAAACGTAAAGAATAAGTTATGCTAAATATTTTAATTCAATTTCCTCACTTCAAACCTCCGGCTGGTCGCATACGGTATCCCGTAGTACCGATTCTGCCCTGAAAGACTTCTCAATCCTCGCAGCTGTCCCTGTTCCACACTCACGATCGGTGTAAAAATATTAAACGTACAATAAACATTATTTAAATGCAAAAGTACGAATAGAAATATCATGTTCACGAATTAACTTTATAATTTCGCATATAAACCAAAAATATATATTTAGCATATATTTTCACGAAATTTTATATGCAAATCACGTTTAGGTTTTTGCTCTTTGTGGAATACTTAAATAAAAAATCACAGTGTGTAAATAATACTTTGATAAATGTGATACGCGTGTATCACAAGTTTTTTTAATAACAGCTCGTTGGTAAGTCCATATTTTTATAGTAAAAAGTAAATGTTATAACTGTTTGGAGGCTACGGATAGACTGGCGACTGTACAATGTCTCAACTCGTGTTGTGCAAGGACGGGTTGCGTGCTCACTGGTTTCTTGTTATACAATATTTTGTGTCATAGAACGATTTCCAATAAGTAACACATATCGAAGATGCTATCGATCAAGTTAAAGTTAATCTATTTTGCTTTTTTTTCCTGCCTAAGCCTTGCGAGGCTATGTTAGCGTAATCCTTACGTGTAGGTGAGCTCTCGGGGCTCAAACCAGGAGACGTTAGCAACACTAGTCCCCACCAAGAGCCGTGCTTCGCTGAATCTCCCACTGGATCGGAAACGCGACCCACTGAGAAGATCTGGCGAGAAACTCAGTGGGCCATATATTGCTAATGATTGTAATAACGGCTCATTTGTCCATATCGGTACGTCTGACTGTTTCGCGGCAAAAATAGACAGAGTAGTGGTACATTACTATGTTCAAGACATGCTGTACCAACAGTGTTTGTGAAAATTGATCAGTTTTACGAAAACCATAAGAGTGATTTTAATTAAGAAACACATTTGTGGGTGTCGAGAAACGTATAAATAGTTGTGGTACTCTTTTAAATCCTTAAAAAAAGGTTTAACACAAACTCTCTAAAAAGTATATGTTCATAAATGTTTAAATACTTCTCTTTTTCTTCGCCTTATCCCACTAGATGGGGTCGGCACAGCGAATTTTTCTATTCCATTCTTTTCTATCAGCCGTCAGCTCAACACTCACTCCTCTCTCTCTCTCTCTCTCTCTCATATCGTCATTCACACACTCCATCCATGTCTTCTTCCGTCGACCTCTTCCCCCTCTACCTTGCACTACCATTTCCATACATCTCCTAGACATATGCATCTTCTCTCTACGCATCACATGTCCACACCACGCTAACCGTCCGCTCTTTAATTTGTTAAATGTTTAAATACTATCGGAACATATTTTTTTGTTTTTTAAATATATACATTATAAGTATATTAAACAAACCGAACACACGACATACGTGCGCCGGTTTTCAGGCTGTATTCCAACAACCTTAAACAAAAAAACTACGTGCAGAAAAATACATTTATTTATGCATTTAATCGCACTATTATTTAAGCATCTGTGATGTTATTATATTAATTATGAACATAAACAATGTTGCTCGACGAGCCAGCATTTTCATTTGAATCCATTATAAAGTTTTAACTCGAAGATAATGAGTTGCAATTCGTCGTAACGAAGAGATGTAAACTGGAACGTTCTGAAAGCGAAAATTCAACGTCATTCTCAGAATTTAAAGCGGAAAACCGACATAGAGCAGCTGGGTCGCTACGAGTGGCTATCGAGTTAGCCGGCACCAAAGAATATTAATACTCGCAGGTTTTTATTTTTTATTTTTTTTATTGCTTAGATGGGTGGACGAGCTCACAGCCCACCTGGTGTTAAGTGGTTAATGGAGCCCATGGACATCTACAACGTAAATGCGCCACCCACCTTGAGATATAAGTTCTAAGGTCTCAGGTCAACGACTGCCCTACCTTTCAAACCGAAACGCATTACTGCCTCACGGCAGAAATAGGCAGGGCGGTGGTACCTATCCGCGCGGACTCACAAGAGGTCCTACCACCAGTAATTACGCAAATTATAATTTTGCGGGTTTGATTTTTATTACACGATGTTATTCCTTTACCGTGGAAGTCAATCATGAACATTTGTTGGGTACGTATTTCATTAGAAAAATTTGGTACCCGCCTGAGATTCGAACACCGGTGCATTGCTCAACACGAATGCAGCGGACTTCTTATCCTTTAGGCCACGACGACTTCAAAACGGTAGATGGATGGTAAATTAGGTATTCTTTCGGAGGGCAGAAGAGAACACAGTTGCAGAAAGAGAAGTAGGAAACACACGTACTCCAACGTATCCGATATAGTTTCATTATGGTATCGTGGAATTTCCTGTGAAAATTATCAAATTGTTCATGCTCTGTTAATCTTTAACTCGAACCTTAATTAAAACTCTTATCAGACTTGTCTAGTTCTCTTCTGTTTTAGACAGGCTTATCAACGACGACACCATTGCATGGCTCCAAGCTAGGATATTCTTCTGGGCCGTATGGGTACCGAAAACACGAATTCAAGACGAGAGCTAATATTTCGATAGCGATTGTACCTGGACCTTTTGGTGCATTAGAGAGCCAAAGAGACGCTCATAGCTGTTTAATGTTAGAGTCCTTAATGAGCCTGCCCGTCTGTCTTCAGAACGAATCTATGAGAGTAAAGATCTTGCTGCATCCCTGGCAGCGTGAGAATTAAAACGGCGCGCGAGTCCTTCATACAATTTGCATGTTTGCGCAGTTTATAACAATTAGCCGTCGTTTCCTGGGTATTTTTCTTTATTACCCGGATTAACAAGTCCCACGGCTCGCCTGGGATCATACAGTCTATGTTAAGACAGTCAGATTTTTTTATTGCTTAGATGGGTAGACGAGCTCACAGCCCACCTGGTGTTAAGTGGTTAACTGGAGCCCAAAGACATCTACAACGTAAATACGCCACCCACCTTGAGATATAAGTTCTAAAATCTCAGTATAGTTACAACGGCTGCCCTACCTTTCAGACCGAAACACATTACTGCATCACGGCAGAAATAGGTAAGGCGGTGGTACCTACCTGCGTGGACTCACAAGAGGTCCTACCAGCAGTGTTATAGGAACCTTTTTCTTTAAATACCAAGGGCAAATTATTTTCGACTTCGTGTTAATACTCTGTATATGGTAAGTATTTTGTATTATTTTGTCCCGCTTTATCAAGTGTACTTTTTTATAGTTGGAAGTTTTCCGATTTTGGGGAAAATTTTAGTACGAATAACAGTTAGCTCAACCATTTAATGCATATTATTCTTTCAAAGTAACAACGAAACAATTCATAGAAACTGTTTCTTCTTTGGTTTTGGTGTTTAAGGTAGTATATGAACGTTTTAGATACGCGACCGCGTTATTCAGTACTCCCGGGTCGCTTAAAAATTGCGCAGCCTAATGCCCGATTGCGCAAACATTATAATCCGTGCAGATTTGCGTTACGGTTTCATGTTTCACTGTGTATTACCCCGACGGCGCTGACTTAATTAGGTTTTATAAATGAATAAATCGTAGCTAGATTGTTGCTGAAGGCATATTTATAATTCGTATCTTAAAGTTCCAGATTTTTTAATGGTATATCCATAATCTGATAGGTCAGTTTGTATAATGGAAGAACTCGAAGTACTTTGACAATATCAGGGATCCAACAGATTTGAGATCACTGGTGGTAGGACCTCTTGTGAGTCCGCACGGGTAGGTACCATCAACCTGCCTATTACAGCCGTGAAGGGTGGGGGCAGCCGTTGTAACTATGCTTGAGACCATATAACTTATATCTCTCTCGGGTGTCCATGATGGATTTTCCCTCCTGTTTTGCCTGTATTTAAAAAAAAAACATTTCTCAAGGTGGGTGGCGCATTTACTTTGTAGATGTCTATGGGCTCCAGTAACCACTTAACACCGGGTGGACTGTGGAGCTCATCTAACTATACAAGCAATATTAAAATAAAAAAAATCATGTTCAAAGATTCCGTTACAAACATACATACGTCTGAAGCTAATAAAAACGTATTAAAAAGGACGGTAACCACTTACAGTTAGGTGGGCCGAGTGCTCGTCTGCTTACAAAAGCAATAAATAAAATGTCAATGTAATTTGAATACTGCATTGTCATTTAGTTTTTTATGTATTTTTATTGCCCGTGCAGGCAGACGAGCATACGGCCCACTTGATGGTGAGTGGTTACCGTCGCCCGTGGAATTCAGCAATGCCAGGGACACAGCCAAGCCGCTGCTTTCGCATAAGTTATAAATAAGCTATTTTGAGTTAAGCAAGAAATTTAAAATCTATGATTTAATTCACGACCGAATAGAACTAGATTCAAACAAACGAGAATTCATAATAACGTCTTTAAATATCTTAAAAGACATCCTTGTGAGCACTTGAATGAGTGTAATGTTAACTTCCTCAAACCATCTTGATCGGCCCGAGTGTCGCGGGAACCGGTCTGAAGCTTTCCGCTGTTGCAGAACGGACTTAGTATCAGCTTTAATGTGGAAAGCTGGGTATGAAGAATGAAATACTGGGTCTATCTATTTCTGTCGCAGAGCAGTTATGGGTTCTGGCTTACAGAAAGTGTACAAATACAATTCATACTTCGATGTAATGTCTCGACATCAGTGGTCATATCCACGTCTTCTCCCGGCTGCGATAGCTACTTGACATCATGTGGCCATTATATGTGTGTGACATCTGTGAACATTAGTGATGGACATTGGACAGTCCGATCCGAGAGAGGTTTCTATAATAATACCATCAAAGAATGACAGGTGATGCGAAATTAGTTTCAAGAAATCGATGTGTTGCATACAATTATTGATCTTCACAGCGGAATATAGGGATCGATTGTTTTGTATAAACCAAGTATCTTGATCTGTCTGTGCGTCATCAGATGACAAGAGACTGTGTTACTGTTACAACGCGCTGCAGCGCGATCCAGTAATGCTACTTTTAGGTACCTCAACCACCGGTCATCATTCTCGTCGAATCCGTCGGTTGCGACGAATGGCTCGACGAGCGAATTAACCCACAGATACAACCCACTGAGTTTCTCGCCGAATCTTCTCTGTGGGTCGCGTTTCCGATCCGGTGGTAGATTCTGCGAAGCTCTTGCTAGGGTTCGTGTTAGCAACATCGTCAGGTTTGCTCACTTACTCGTCCGGAGAATCTAGTATAGTCCCTCGAGGCTACTAGAATAGGTAGGAAAAAAAAACGCAGCGTCGCATTTTTGTATTCCAGGTCAACAGCTTTTTTAAGCAAATAGTGTAATTAAAATGTAATTTATATTCTAAGAAAACTGCAATTTTTTAAAATTATTTTTTATTGTTTATATGGGTGGACGAGCTCACAGCCAACCTGGTATTAAGTGGTTACTGGAGCCCATAGATATCTACAACGTAGGTAAATGTGCCACCCACCTTGAGATATAAGTTTTAAAGTCTCAAGTATAGTTACAGCGGCTGCCCCACCCTTCAAACCGAAACGCATTACTGCTTCACGGCAGAAATAGGCAGGGTGGTGGTACCTACCTGTGCGGACTCACCAGAGGTCCTGCCACCAGTAAAGAAAATTCGGAAATAAAATAGATAGACGTTCTGATTTCGGCTCTGTATAAAAGTTTTTGCTGTTGCCGTAGTCCACAGGCGTGTGTATAAGCAGCCCGCGTTTATGTAAGCTGAAAACTTGGACGTCACCTGAAGCACTCCACAATATCTATGCTCATAATAATACTTTACTTTTATGTCCTTACTTGTTCGACGCTGGGTTTTTATTTGCAATTATTTAATTTTTCATTCGTTGCTAAATAGTTGTTGTTACAAACGTATGTGTACGAGTGGGATAGAGATATATTTATCATTGCATTTTCATTTGACATTCTAGTATTTTGGGGATGCTTAAACGACAAAGGGAAGATCTTCCACCGAGCGGGTGATATTTGCTCGGTAGACCGACGGTCCGAATGTTGTTGTTCGGAACTTGTATATATGCGAGCTTACCTTGAAAATGTCGTAAGCCAGATTCACGCATCTGTCAAATATCTTGTGTTGTATGATGGCTACCCGCCACATCACTCCCCTCCGAGAGCAGAGATCGTGTCATTTAATTATCGTTTTACGTGTTGAGATTATCTTGCAAGAACCAGTGCTGTTCGAAGTTTGCGGTGAGTCGAAACTGAGCTTGAATTCGGCGTGAGTGTCGCCAGTGCTGCTCGAAGTCTGCGGTGAGTTGAGACTTAGCTTGAATGTTGCGTGAGTGTCGCCAGTAGTCCATGTGTGCAGAGCTGCCATGCCGGAGATGTGTGACCCCAAGCGTTGATGATCCCGTCGTGGGCTGCGATGAACTGTAGTGTCGTGATGAGGAAGTGAAGATGCGTGCCGTAGGACCAGGAAGCGCGGTGAGTCGGCTGCGATGGTCCTGTTGAGGCTGCGATTCTGGCTTGCTGTGTGACGACTGTCAATGACTTGCTTTTATCTGCGAGAATGCGGGAATTGTGGTAGCCGAAGTTCTTGATGCACGGATGATGAAGTGTGAAGGCTGAAATTGTTCCGTCGCAGGTCACCAGTTTGGGAGGCTTACACACACTACAGTATAATTAGAAGTCGTCGTGGATTAAAAGACAAGACATTCAAATCACCAATTTTTTTAATGAAATTTGTTCTAGACCATCTTAACAAATGACTACACGATGAAGGGAAGCATTCAGCAATGAGAATCAAACTAGCAAATCCAATCAAATATAACTTGTGTAATTATTACTACATAATTACGACCTCAAGTCTCTGGGTGGGTGGCGGCATTGGCATCGTGATGTTTGTGGACTGCGGCAAAACATAAATCATAGACGTTACAAAATTGATTTACTTTTGACTAAAAAATTAACCATTACAATTTTAGGACACAAATAAAAAACCATGCGTAATCCCGGGATATTTTAATTCTTTATTTAATATATTTATTGCACACAACATTGGTTTTGTGAACCGAATAAAAATCTATCAATAATTACAGTGTATTTTTAACTTTTAATTAAATACACTTATTGCACATAACATTCATTTGATGAATTTGAAAACTAATCAATTTATATTTGGTACGAGAAACATAAAATTTAACAAACAATAAAGAAGATAGCCATACACCGAAGTATGTTGTCGTAAAAGCGTTTAGTAAAAATATTGCACAACTTTAAGAAATGAATTTATAAATTAACTCATTTTGTCAGGGCTCAAACACACAACTACAGCTTCTGATGTGTGTTGAGCTAGAACATAACTAGCTGGTTATATATTTTTTTAATGCCGTGTAGGCAGACGAGCATACGGCCCACCTGATGGTGAGTGGTTACCGTCGCTCATGGACGTCAGCAATGCCAGGGGCAGAGCCAAGCCGCTGCCTGCCGTTAGAAGAGCTTTTTAGATAATTAAGTTTCTATTACAGGAATTCCAAAGCGTATATTAATAACTCGTATACAATGTACTGTGTGTGCACGTAAACAAATATTTCGAACGAAATATCGGAAATTATATTGTAAACCCAAAAGCAATGAACCTACTGCCCTTTCTTCTAAAAGTATCCACGAGCCAATTCCTAGTTCAAATTCGTCAAGATCATTCGGCAAGATTAGGGCAAAATAACGTAGATAATATTAATCTAATAAATCTTTCTAATAATTATAAAGTCTTTACAACACCCAACATAATATAGTTTGATTTTGATATTATATTTAATTAATTAATTAAATTATACATTTAATACATACAAAAAATATATAGCACCATTTTGAATGTCTTTACAAGGGATCAAGTATGCATCTAGAATGTGTTTCTAAACAGTTAAAAACAATCTGCGGTCGTTTTGTCTAGTTGAAAATGTCCAAATGAATAATAATGAAAAGTAGACAACAATAATGCGTTGAGATTTAACACCGCATGGTCCTGTTTTTTACAGTAGATAATAACTATTGTCCACAAATAGAATAGCTGTGTAGTTCTTAGATGCTGTGGCATGTCTTGTGTCAAATGAGGCTTGTAGATATCACTTTATTGTAGACATATCGTATTGTATGCAAATATAATCTAAACAACAATAATATTATCTATGAGTATTATTATTCCCTCTGTAATTGTTCTTCATTTGAATAAAAACATGCCAATAGCACTGTTCATAATTTTGATAAGCTTGTTAGTTTTTTTGCCATTGGAACGGTATTCAAGAGAACACTTAAACCCAAGTCAGACATTCAATTCTTTCTTAAAACTAAAATAAAGACTAGATTCAAAACGACATATATTTACTAACATTAACAGACTGTTTGGTTCTATCCACGCTTACGGTCAGCGGTAGCCAATAGTAGTTGTCATGTTGATATTGGAAATATGTATTAGTATTACCCAGTCTATTCAGTGACATGGTTAATATGCGTTTTCGCATCACAGAGTGAGTTTGAAGTTTGTAGAGGCGAGTTTATGAAATATTAAGGATCTATTTCGCAATCGGGAGTAGCATTTATCGATAAATTCTTTCAACGGTGAGGGGGAATTCACGCAGTTAGCGGATACTTGATATTAAAAAGCTGACAACTTAAATACATCCGGTGAACAAAGCGTTCGTTTAAGTAAATTAATTAATTAATTAATTAATAATGTAAGTAAATTATTAAATAATATTTTACGTCATTAATTTCGTTGTTTTACATACGAACATTTATTAGATTCGTTATTAGCGCGTGAAAAACTGCATTTGCTATTACTCGATGTTTACAAATGTGACTCGTATTCATGACGTTTGGTAAACAGATCCGTAATTTGACTATCGGATGATTAGATCTTGAAACATAAAAAACGAAGTATATCATCAAACAGATCTGTGTTCAGCTAGCAAAAAGTCAAAACTTAAAATTAAAGATTTTGTGTTAATGTAATTCATGACTGAATTTTGACATCGGTCGTTATGACAAAGTGACATTAATGAAATGACGCTCCAAACTTCCGGTCATGACATTGACAGTCATTTAGTACGTCAAAAACATCAATACCTTTTTTAGTTCTACTAATAATTCTGAGTTTTAAGTACTAATGACATGTTATAAACTGGTTTAAATTCGGGTTTTACTTCGGCCATTAATTGTTTACTGTTGTCTAATGGAACAAAAATCTTTGAAACCATAATTTCTTTTCCTGTATTTTCTGTATGTTTCATTCCATAGTTTGACGGATTGTTCGTTCCACATCGGCGCGGTGGTGATGCGGGAATCGATCACCAAAGCGGTAGGGTTCGGCTCCCGGCTGGGGTTCCATATGTAAGGCAGAATTTTAGTTCGTTTCGGTGTTGGGTTCCTGATGGCAGAAAATTATGAGTATTAAAAAAAAAAGGTCAAATGAAATAAAAAGTTTTATAAGTCGTCATGGCCTAAAGGATATGACGTTCGGTGCATTCGTATCTAGCGATGTACCGGTGTTCGAATCCCGCAGGCCGTTACCAATTTTTCTAATGAAATACGTACTTAACAAATGTTCACGATTGACTTCCACGGTGAAGGAATAGCATCGTGTAATAAAAATCAAATCCGCAAAATTATAATTTGCCTAATTACTCGTGGTAGGACCTCTTGTGAGTCCGCGCGGGTAGGTACCACCACCCTGCCCATTTCTGCCGTGAAGCATTAATGCGTTGCGGCATGAAGGGTGGGGCAGCCTTTTGTAACTATACTGAGACCTTAGAACTTACATCTCAAGGTGGGTGGCGCATTTACGTTGTAGATGTCTATGGGCTCCAATAACCACTTAACACCATGTGGGCTGTGAGCTCGTTCACCCATTTAAGCTATTAAAAAAATAATATCTTTAGTACCTTTTAAAAACGTATTAAGCGTGTAATTGTGTACGTTATTTGGCGAATTAAGGAATGAATTGTGAACACTGGTCTCAATAAATTGTGTGCCCTTGGAATGCATCGTGAACGTCTCGTTAGCGATAGTTACGGAATGTTGCAAAATGTGTGCGAACGTGGACACAGCATCACCTTGAAATCTCAACACTTAAGAGAGCCTGCGTCTTGCAGATTTACTTTTCGTTATTTTGAGCGATTTTATTTGAGACGCCCGCTGAATGCTACGTGAGGTTGAGTCTAATTTAATTTATTAAGCGTTGAGGTGGTACATACAAAATTGTGGAAGTTTCTTTAAACTTCATCATGAATCATTGATGAAATTTAAAGATTTGCACTTACGTTGTTGAAGATTTTACTTATTGTCTAACTCAATAATATATTCTAATACATATATTTTAAAAACGGTAGGGGGTGGTACCTAAGTTCAGGGAGCATTTTTAAGCTATATATAATATATATATATATATATATATATATATAAGCTATATAAGCTATAAGCATCTATCGCGGGCTTTGAGTGCGGCGATTGAATCAAGGAATTTCGTAACGAAAATAACCTGACACCCCACTACGCCTACTATGTAGCTCGCGTTCAACACATTCACACGTTGCGCTTGTGTAGTGTTTGTGAATAAGCGTGCGGCGTGACGTCGCACTGCCGCATGCACATGAAAAGTCTGCCCATCTCTCCCTCGCGCGGTCTAGGTTATGAGTGTGAAGGGGACAATTAATGTTTAGCTTTTGTTAATGTTTATAAATATAGCGTGGTCTTATTTTATTGTTGTTTTAAAATTAAATTATTATTGTCGATATATAATTGCATAAATTGATAAAAAATGCTATGCAATAGCTTTACCGCGGCAGTCTCCGAGTGCCACACGTGTTTTTTTTTCCTAAGATAGCTTGAACAGGTACTGAAAATTTTATTTATTTAAGTTTACACTTGTTTACATATTCGTTATGTTAAGAATTTTGTTTAATGCTTTTTTAATACTTTTAATATATTTTTTATATTTATTAAAAAAAATCTGTACGCTGCAAAAAAGTATTGTTAGGTCCAAAAACAAAAACTAATGGGACTATGATAATTGGTATTATTTTCTTGAAAGAATCCCTTAATAAGTCGCGTTCAAAGTACATATCTACGGTACAGTTACCAACACTAGGAAGTCAATAGTCAAATAAATTATGTAATACGTAATGATAGTAAGAATAGTGAAACTCGGCCGCGCTCCGCTGTTGCTACCGCCCATTTTATGAATATTTAAAAAAAAAACTAATATTAAAAAAAAAAGACATGCCGCTGAGTTTCTTGCCAGTTCTTCTCAGGACGGAGGCTAGTTTTAGTGAATTGGCGATAGTTCGTTTTGAGGTTCTACAAGTATGTACTTTCATTTATGTTGAATATATATTTTTTGATTTGATTTGATTGCTTGTGTTTGTGAACAAGCTCAAGGACCACCGATTAGAGGTGATGCCACCTTACATATGAAAGTACTACTCCTGTGCCACCGGTCATATGTTGATGTTATGAATTGTCCCTAAAGTCACGATCGCAGTAAAATAATTCAATTCAATTGTATATAAGAAGCGCGCTTTGAGCTCTCGCACAAAATCATACACACAGTTAAGAGTTTAAATGTTTTAGATCGATTTAAATTCCAAATACAAGGGCCGGTTTTAGATTAAAACCTTCCCACATAAATCCTCGTCCCAAAAATGCCCCGCGAAACATTCTTGACGCGATGACATTGACAACTATGTCTCGATGACATAGACAACACAGATCCGTTTAATTGTGACGTCAGAAAATGGATCAAGGTTTTAATAGCTCGTAGATCATAGTGTTTTTTTTAATATTAAGTAGGAAGTAACTTAAGTCGCTTATCTTGTACTAGTGGTAAGAATTCTTGTGAGTCAACACGGGTAGGAACCACCGCCCTGCCTATTTCTGCCGTGAAGCAGTAATGCGTTACGATTTAAAGAGTGGGGCAGCCGCTGTTACTATACTTGAGACCTTAGAACTTATATCTCATGGTGGGTGGCGCATTTATGTTGTACATGTCTATGGGCTCCCGTAACCACTTAACACCTGGCGGGCTGTGAGCTCGTCCACCCATCTAAGCAATAAAAAAAAACGTTTTTCTTTATCCACGGCCAATTAAAGTCTATGGTCCACTCTGTTGTCTATAGTGATTTAAAAAAAAAACATCTATTGGCGCGTAAAGAAAGAAACATGCTTACATTGTAAGTTGGAAGGTTTTTTTTTCTTAATGGGCAGACGATCCTCAAGGCCACCTTGAGATTTGTTATACAGCAAAGTAAGGCTAACTTGGTTTATCGAGCTACACCAGGTTTTAGAGGTTTTTGGAAAAATAACTATAGATCAGATAGCAAACGAACGGGCATTTATTAACATGACCGTGTCTCGCAATCTATGCAAAGTCGTTAGTACCGCGTTAGGAGTCAGTTTTTTTAGCATTGCAAGTGTCAAAGGATGGGTCGGTACACATTTACTATCAGGTTGGCTGTTTACATTTTTATCTTCCACGACAATAAAACGATAGTAAACAAATTTTTTAGCAAATTCAAAAGTACCACTGAATTTCCCGACAAGACTTAAATACAGAACAATGGTAATCAAATATTAGGGTACATACCCGTAACGAGCAAAATTAGTCCACATTTCCAGCATGCGAGCTATCATAGTACTTTCGAGTGACTTCTGCGGCAACGGAAAGGAGTGAGGCTTGAACAAGTAAAACAGCTCGTCGGCATGAGAGGCGCCCTTGATCAAACCAAATCCTGATATCAGCTTGGGCATGTTTATCAGTCCGCTGTACTTGAAAATGTAATAGTATATGGGTTGGTCCGTTGTCATGGAGTACATCTCGGATTCTATAACCGAAGGAAATTTGAAGTGTACATCGGAGTATAGTTCCACCACGTTCATGATCATATTGTCCTCTGTCGATGAAGATAAATAATGCGTCTTTAATCTCTCTGCTGTACAGTTCCTTTCCCAATCATTTGGAAATTCTAGATCGTTCTGCAGATTGCTCATGATGTCAAAATTCGTGTGATTCGCCAAATTGACGCCGTAATCTGCAGCCACAAAATAAATGCCCTCTTTGTCCGTATTACCAATTATCATTGGAACTTTAGTGTAGTTCCCTGAACGGATTACGTTCGTGGGATATTCAGTTATGACAGATTCAATTCCTTCAATTGGTCTTTCGACGCACGGCACAAAAATATTGAAATCAGCAACGCAGTATTTTTCTTCATTATTTAATGCGAGAACTAATTCATTAACAGTCTTATTCGATAGAATACTGTATATTTCGTACGGATCTTTGGTATCGTAACCGAATTTCTTGACTAAAGCGCTCGCGGTTCTTATTGGATCATGCTGGAGTGCCCAAGGCGCAAGGGAAGAACCGCTCTGCAGTATGGCCTTGTGGAAGAGGCCTCTAGCAGCCGGAGAAAGTATCATGAAAGACGTGGAAACAGCGCCAGCGCTTTCACCAAACAATGTAACATTATCTGGATCTCCGCCGAAATTAGCTATGTTTTCTTGAATCCATTTCAAGGCTGCGATCTGGTCTTTAAGTCCTGCATTTCCTGGCGCCTCCTCGATGCCTAAGCAGAGGAAGCCTTCGACACTTAATCTGTAATTTATACCCACGAAGACGACTTGATTTTCGGCGAAGAAATCCCCTCCATATAGGTATGGAGATCCGGCACCACTAAAGAAACAACCTCCATGAATGTACACCATGACGGGAAGCTTCACAGCCTTGACTGGGGAGTAGACGTTGAGCTTGAGGCAGTCTGGTTCTCCGAAGACTATAGGGCCAATGGATTTTTGTGGACACCACGTGTTTTCGTTGGTGGCTTCGAAGATTTCGCTCCATTGCGGTGCGGGCAGCGGTGCCTGAAAATTGTAAGTAATAATGTTAACGATGTATATCTTGTATCGCAAAACAATATTTTCGATTGGACGTTTATTTGAACGTTGATGTTTTTGTCACAAGACCTCTTGCATTTAGTGTTAGTAAGATTGTTGTTTCCCAATTATCACGCCATATTTAAATTCTCGGGTACGACTAAACCTAGAGGTTCAGGATTTGTTTCGCGTTTGTTATGTTCAAGGTTAAGCTTGCCAAATTTAGAAATATATTAGGTACAGCTTTCGCAGTCCCAATAGCTTGGCTGTACTGAGTAGCACTGAAATGAATTGGGAGTGGTATTTGTAATCAGCATAATAATATGTCAGTGGTAACGTACATAATGAATAGTAGCACGAGTATGTATTTAATGTACAATATAGAAAACGTGACTGACAGACTCAGTAGCAGCAGTTCGCGTCCCGGACTTCTGTGGCTCTAGGGTCTACCTAGGGTTGTGGACCACAGCAACCAATATTAATATATGACAAACGGGAAAACATTTTTAAGACTAACAGTTTTGTTTGCTGTTTAACTAGTTTTTTGTTTATTGCCCTTGTAGGCAGACGAGCATACGGCCCACCTGATGGTGAGTGGTTACCGTCGCCCATGGACTTCAGCAATGCCAGGAGCAGATCCAAGCCGCTGCCTACCGCTTAATATTCTCCACAAGCCTCGTTTGAAGAAGGACATGTCATAGCGCTCGGGAAACACCGTGGAGGGGAGCTCATTTCATAGCCGGATGGTACGTGGCAACAAATACCTCTGAAAACGCACTATAGATGACCGCAGAGGCTCCAGGTAGTATTAGTAGTATTAGTAGTAAGTAGTTGTTAGTATGCTCATGTATGTATATTTCTAAATATTAATATAATGCACATCTTATATCTAAATGTATATTACTATTTAGTTCCTGTAAACAGGCAAGGTAGAGGGAAAACGTCCCAGAGAACTTAGCCCCACGAGATGGTCGGTCCAAATACGATCCTCTCTGAATATCACGTTCCACAATGCACTCCGCAAAGATAAGGATCGCAGTAGATGAAAGGAAATCTTACACAAGAGAGTGATGCATACAGAGAGGGGGCAGTCACGACCCTCAGTAATAAGGAAAGAGACGCGAGGAGAAGGAGGAGGAGTTCCTGTGGTCTAGGGGATCTTAGTTTGGGTTCAGATGACCGTCACTTTTTTATCAGCACCGGTGTGAATTTCGCAACACGCTATTGAAGGTGCCTGTTTGGAACTCAATGAATCCTTCTTGAAGGCGTTGCATTAAAAATGGATCTCTAAAGAAAATTTCATTTCAAATTTTTAAGAATTACACGCTCCATTCTAATCCTCGCTTCTATTCATGTAGTACGCTTCTAAAGATATTACGTATAAATTTAATTCGTTTATTTCATTCGGATTCACTGCCCGAATAATCATTGAGGAATCCTATCGCTGGAGAGAACGAGTACTTCATTGAACATCAGGTGAGTTAGGAGTTTTCATTCTTCGATTTATGCTCTGTTTTCCAATTTTACTACGCCACCAAAATACTCATGCCGCCAGGGCATGTGGTATGGATATTTACACGCATAGCAGTACCCGATTTTTTATTCTACATGTACATATGTTATTTAATTTTAACTTAATTAGTTTTCTAGTCTTCATGGCCTATAGCACGCCGTGTATTCGGATACGGCTATGCCGGTCTTTCTAATTTCTGCAGGCAGCTACTACCAAATATTCGAATGGAATAAGTAGGTATTAAATGATGTTTACCAACAAGTTCCACTGTAAAAAGTAACATTGTCAATTAAAAATAATAATAAACCAGCAAAAAATATAATTTGCATAATAATTACTGGACTTCTCAAGGTAGGCGACGTTCAAGTAATGATGTTTTTCTTTTTTTTCTCTACCCCATTATACGGTGCCTGTGTGTGAACAAAGCATCATTTTTTGTCGTATTAGTTAAAACGGGTATCGTATACGCGGAGACTGTGGTAGTTTTCCAATTACAGAGCATAATGCGACTCAGTGACGCACAATGCCGAATTATGCTGAAGCTTAATTGGAACGTGAATTAGTTTTCAAATGCATCAGCAGAGTGCGCTAAGTTAGCACAGTTTTAATTAAGATTGATTATTTCTAAGAAACTACGACGAAACGAAAGCCTTACAATTTTTTTCAACATTAAATAATATTACTAACGATAATATAAATAAAATTTCGATCAATGCCAACTTAAAGAAAAAAACACTTGTCCATTTTATGTCACTGAGTCGGAATCGATTGCGAGTATCACGCGAGAGCAGTAGTTTTGAGAGTGCTCGATTGTGCGAAGCGTTGCTGTAGTTGGAACATTCAACGTTGAGCATTATGCCGCATAATGCGCTCTTGTGCTGTAATTGGAAAACTACCTATGTGTGAACGGGCTGTAAGAGGGCATTCTAAGTACGCGCGGACGGAGATGTTTATGGGCTCCGATATCCACTTAACACCAGTTGGGACGTGAGCTTGTTCACCTATCTATCTAATAAAACTTAGTTAATTCGCTCGTCGAGCCTTTCGCCGCAAGCGACGGGTTCGACGAGGACGGTGACCGGTGCTTGTGGTACCTAAAAGCACCGTTAATGGATCGGGAGGATCCGTAATGATGTTTTGGGCGACGTCGACAACTCCGTCGTGTGTTGAACGTTGCTCAGTATTAGTTGAAGCAGCTGATACCTATACCCATCACGCACGTGTACGATATGGACGCGAATAATCACTTAAACTCAGGTGGGCCAAGAGTTCTTACAACCAACGTTGACAAAAAAAAGTATGTTCATGGATTCTTACAAAACGAATTCCTTCTGACGTCAGAACTAAAGTGCAGTGAATGTACCCATCACGACACCAACCCAACTTATTGATACGTGCAGTAAAAAAAAAAGAAAAAGACACTGCTCATGCGTTGTACCAGACCCCATAAACTACCGGAATGATGCTCAATCGTTCATCTCCTTTTAATTCTCATGATAGAGAGAGATAGATTAACTCCAAGAACTGGTTTGCTAACATATGTCCAATGAAGTGATTGAACAATGCGAGGAAACTGGTTTCTACGACCTTGAAAAAGTGTTGTTGCAAAAGTATCAATCACATTGACTGCCGATATTTTATTACCACCTGATTTTATTGATGTTAACTTAAATGCGTTAAATAAAATATAGTAACGTTTAATTCTAATATTTTCCATTGAATATACGCAACGTTAACTTCTTAGGTGGATAATTGTTTTTTTAATATATTATGGGGATTTTAGTATGGGGATCTATTGTTATATTTTCGTTTGTTCTTTCCCCAAGTGGGATAATTTTGGAAAATTGTAACCGTTTTTTTTAAGACTGTTTGGACGAGTTATAAAATATTGTTTGTAAAGTCATTAAACCAAAAGTGATTGATATTTTTTTTTAACGAACACCTACAACAGAAGCTTTCTTGTATGCGTTAACGTACACTTTTAACAACAAATAAATACTTGTTCGATAAAATTACATAGAAAGCGCCTAGCACAAAGTATAGAACTTCGAAAAAGGTTTTTTTTTATTAAGTAGGGAGGACGAGCTCACAGCCCGCCTGGTGTTAAATGGTTACTGGAGCTCATAAACATCTACAACATAAATGTGCCACTCACCTTGAGATATAAGTTCTAAGGTCTCAAGTACTTTATAGTTACAACGGCTACCCCACCCTACAAACCGAAACGCATTATTGCTTCACGGCAGATTTCCTGGTACGATATTACGGACGAAGGCATTAGCAGTCGTAATATTAAACACGTATCTCGAGGTATCGCGTGTACTGAACGGATTATTTATCATTAAGACCTGACACTAATGTAGGAGCCAGTCGCTAGAGGTGTCGCAGGTCACGTGTCCTTATCTCTGGCGGGCAGCGGAAAGATTCGAACACTCTTAGATGTAATTAAAAATGTTTTCAAACGTCAGACATTAATAAATGTAAATATTAAAAGCAAAATTAAACCGTAATGATCGCTTTAATTAGCTAATTATTTAAGGTTATTTTTTACTCAAAAATTTTGTTTTGCTTAGATGGTGGAAGAGCTCACTGCCCACCTGGTGTTAAGTGGTTACCGGTGCCCATATACATCTACAACGTAAATGCCAACATCCACCTTGAGATATGAGTTCTAAAGTCTCAGTATAGTACAACGGCTGCCCCACCCTTCAAACCGAAACGCATTACTACTTCACGGCAAAAATAGGCAGGGCGGTGGTACCTACTTACACGCGCGGACTTACAAGAAGTCTTACCACCAGTAAGTTCAAGTCTCATTTGATGTTAAGTGGTTCCCGAGCGAAGATTCGAGTAGCAGTTATATTGTTATATCCTTCAAACCGGAGTCCGCGTCCTTGACCGCGTTTCGGCAGAAATAGGCAGGTCGGTGACTTAAAAGCACGTCAACCGGTATTTGATAATTTTATAAATTATGCGGGTAGAATTTTTTTTACATTATGTTATTGAATGCGCAGAATAGAGGGGGAAGAGGTCGACCTAAGAAGACTTGGATGGAGTGTGTGAATGACGATATGAGAGAAAGAGGAGTGAGTGTTGAGATGACGGCTGATAGAAGAGAACGAAAGAGAAAAATTAGCTGTGCCGACCCCACCTAGTGGGATAGAGTGAAGAAAAAGAAAGATATGATGTTATTGAATGCGCAGGCGAGCTCAAAGTCCATCACAATTCACACAGACACTTTGTATTATGCATAGTTCTAAATGACCTCTTTATGACGTCATAAGCTGGTGTTGCTTTGGAATAACAATTAACCTGACATTCGAACCGGAATAAATAATTGCTTCGCGACAGAATAACATATTCGTGTTGATATAACGACGTTATTACCAGTGGATAAATACTATTTTTCAGTGAACTAAAAGTGTCTCAGGTGCTTAATTAGGTACGACGATCGACAGTCCTTGTCGGTGCATAGGAAACAGCAGTGAGCAGTTATTGTGAAGTTTTAATTGAATATGCAACTTCAAAAAGGGCACATCTCTGAAAATGTAAAATGTTCAGGAAATGAAAAAAAAAACATTATTTTCTAAAGCAGTGTAAAATTTAAAATATTAACTTTTGAGATATATTTTAGTGTTAATTAGCAATTTAAAATTACTGGAATTATCATAAAATGGGTGTAGGTAAGCCTCAAAACTACATGTATGTGAAAAAACGTATTTGACAAAATATACGTGTGCCCTTTTCGTAACTGCATATTCAATTTGATTCCGTATGACGCTTCAATCGTTTCATTGCATATCAATTGCCCGTTTCTGTGGAGTAACAATGTTCAGTCGAGAATGTTCCCTTACAACTTAAATATAGAAGGAGCGTCCTTGTCAACGACGAAGTTCATTAGTCAGATTAGAATTAAAATTATATCTAGAACTAGCTGGCCCGGCAGACTTCGTAGTGCCTCAATCGATAAATAAAATACCTAAACTTTATTTAATTCCGAGAATTTTCATATTTATCTACCTTTTAAACCTTCCCTGGACTTCCACAAATGATTCAAGACCAAAATTAGCCAAATCGGTTAAGCCGTTCTCGTGTTTTAATGAGACTAACGAACAGCAATTCATTTTTATATAATAATATATAGATTAGATCGGGGGACTGCTAATTAATAACCTTTGCAGCGGGCACTTACGAAATACTCAAAAAGTAAAAAACAAATTGTAATAAATAAAGTATTAGGTTTTTAGGTTAGTAACATAGATTATAAGCTTTTTTCTTGCCCTTGTATGCAGACTAGCGTACGGCCCACCTGATGGTGAGTGGTTACCGTCGCCCATGGACTTATGCAATGCCAGGGGCAGAGCCAAGCCGCTGCCTACCGTTATTAATACTTGCGAACAAAATGTATGGTTTCTTTATTGAAATAAAGATTTAATAATAATGAATAATTAGCCGCCACTCACCAGTCATGTTCGACACGATTTTACATTATTAATAATATACAACTACCTGATCTGATCGGAGTTTTGTAAAGGATCTAACCGGTCGTCTCGTGACGGTGAACCTAAATTTCTTATTTCTGGAAACTACTATGGTGCCCGGTTCACGGTTCAATTATCAAGATGGTAATACACATCCTGAACAAGCACGTGTCGATACCGTCGTGATTAATTCTGCCGCGATTCATTGGTGTCTGCTCGAAGAGTGGGGTGGTCGTTTATTTATACGTATGTATATACCAGTGAGACCAGTGGATGTCATGTTTCAACAAGGGTGGCGGTATTAGGCTCTGGTAGTTATTTTAAACCAGGTTTCCCATAGGCTCGTTCATATTTAATAATCGAATTTTAAAAAAAACTTGGGAAATCTAGGGTAATTGCTGGTTATAGGGTGAATTGTAAACTCACAGGGGTAGATACCGTCTGTTTCCATCACGAGATTCAGTTTATTGAGACATCAACGACATCCCTGTTATAGACGGGGGTGAAATACATCACACGATCACAGCAGTTGAATATAAAAAAAATTAAAAAATCACCTGAAATCGATTCCTCTCGTCAACAGTAGCGTACGGGATTCCGAAGTACTCGTAAAAGTTTCCATTTTCGCTGATCCTGCCCCTCACTGGTCCACTAGTTGTGATCACCACCGGAGCCGGTAGTCGCACCACGCTCACCGCGATCAGAGATAGTAATGCGACCCACTTCATACCAATCGATCACTTTCCGGTATTAAGCATTAAAATACCCACAAAATCAACGATATCTTGCTTGATCTAATATACAAATAACGTCTCTAGAACGAAGTTTATACAAGTGTATTAAAATTTTAATACCAAATATTGTTTATCTTTGTTTTTTAGTCATTTAATTTTAATTTATTTACAGTATACGTTTGTAATGGCCGAGCGTCTGTGTCGCAATAACAATGTATTGAATATAAGATAAGGATAACGGATGAAAAAGACCATTTTTACATGGCCGATGTATATATTCGATGGATTTGGACCTTGTGCTTTAGATCAACAATATTAATTTGTATATAGCGGATGTTTTCATTTCTTTGAATTCTTTTTTTGTTAGTTAATGTAATGGTATGCTTATATAACTTGGAGAATTCTGGAATATTCTAAATTTCTTATAATATGTATGCTCTGTGTTTATTTTCTAGAGGTCTCGACGTTTGGACTTCAATTATTCAAAGGAATCTCACAACAAATACTTGTTGATATAATTAAAGCCGTATGTAATTAGAAATGTTGATAAATATGGACATACTCTTTTAAATTAAGATTAAATTGTATCTCTTATGTTGTGTATTTATGCAGTAAAAATAAGTTAACAATAATGAAACAATACGATTGAGATGCAAATCGTGAACGATTTACTTACAACCAGTATCAAGCGATACTGCTTTATTATTATTTTCCCTACCAATTCGTTGGTGGCCTAAGCGGCTATTCCAGCTATCCCGGGCGGATGGGTGAGTTCACGGACTCGACCTGAGAGAATTTGCTAACGATAGCCCTAGCAAGAGCAGTGGTTTGCAGAAGATCCGGCGAGAAACTCAGTGGGCTGTATCTATGGGTGCTTTGTTACTTTCGTATTAATAATATTGTTTAAAATAACAAATTCTAAAAATTTTATACGGGCGATGACTTTCTTGTGCCAATTTTGCCAATTGATTGCTTCGAAGCCTGTATTCTGCTGGAGTCTACTGCTTTTTGGGGACGTTGCAGCGGCCGCTAGTTAATCATTATGTACGCTGGAACTTTGAACTTTAAGCACTCAAAAATCCAAGAAACAGGTTTTACTTTTAATTTAGGAGCTTATGCGTGTCTCCTTTTACAGGGCATCCAACTAAACTTTTTTTTTTATTGCTTAGGTGGGTGGACAAGCTCACAGCCCACCTGGTGTTAAGTGGTAACTGGAGCCCATAGACATCCACAACGTAAATGCGCCACCCACCTTGGGATATAAGTTCTAAGGTCTCAAGTATAGTTACAACGGCTGCCCCGTTTGAACCGAAACGCATTACTGCTTCACGGCAGAAATACGCAGGGTAGTGGTACCTCCCCGTGCGGACTCACAAGAGGTCCTACCACCAGTAACTACTATAAAACTAACATTCACTGAATATCTGTTTCTGTTCGTGTATGCAAATAAACATCTTTTGTTTAAATAAATCTTATTCTATAAATTTAACTAACGATCTAAATCTTTTAAAGCAAACAATCTAATTCAAGGTTCCAGCACAGCGTTTAGTATTTTTATTTTAAACCAGTTGACCGGGCAGACTTCGCAGTGACTCAACAGATAAATAAAAGACCTAAACTTTTGTATAAAATAACACATCAAAGGAAAAACAATTTTTTTTATTTTTTATCTAATTCCTAGCGTATATTTATATTTATCTACCTTTTAAACCTTATCTGGACTTCCACAAATAATTCAAGACCAAAATTAGCCAAATCGGTCCAGCCGTTCTCGAGTTTTAGCGAGACTAACGATCAGCAATTCATTTTTATATAATATATAAATTAAAGCATTATCTATATAATATATAGATATAATATATAAAGCATTATCTATATAATATATAGATAATGCTAATAAGATTAAAAGAGTGTTGTACCTTTTGTCTATGCACACCGCGACATGAAAAATGCTACACGCTAATTATTAATTGGCAATTCTGTGCGCGAGTCTTCGAGCTTGTTAATTTTCGGTCTAGTTGAATTCGGTCAAGGCTCTATTTGTCAATATATTCAGCAGAACAGACCGGAGGTCGCGATTGAGAAAAATGCAAGACCCTGACATTGTCTCGAGAATTTTATATGAATTATATGAAACGTACTTGTTCAGATATGTTTTTAAACGACAACATTATCTCAGTCGCCTCCATGGCATAGCGGAGTCCGTGTTTCCGACCAAATGTTTTATATTCAGGCTTCGGTCATCATCTTTTTTTAATACACTTTTATTAGCTTCTGACGTTTGTATGTTAGTATGTAACGGAACCTTTGAACATGATTTTGACCCCCTTCAAAACGTCGGATTAACTCGAAATTTGGTATTCTTATTAAGGACCGATGACAATTCAATATTAAAAAATATATATATATATATATATATATTTAAAAAATTGAAATTTTACTTCATATTTTCTTGCCCTTATAGGCAGACGAGCATACGGACCACCTGACGGTGAGTGGTTATCGTCACTCATGGACGTCAGCAATGCCAGAGCCAAGCCGCTGCCTGCCGTTAGCATTCTTGTTTCGATTATTTTCTAACTAAATTTTGAATATGGATCAAATTTAAAATATACAAGCTACCTACTTCCATATCTAACTATCAATCCTTGACCAAAATGGGAGACAATCAGTGATACTATTTAAAACTTAGCTCGAATTTTTTTAAGGCATTAGTAAATGAATGCTTTGAGTTTTTGACTATGGCCCGTGAGCACTTTGAGTTTGCTTGTTTAGTTCCAAGCTTTTTTGCCATCGTAGGCTATGTTGCCTCTACTCACCATGGCTGGTATCGTCGATGGGGCTCGTAATATTTTAGAGCTAATTAAACAATTATTATTCATAATCAGGACATGCTATAAACTGTTGCCTCATACTGACACACAACAATGTTATTTGGAGTTAGTAGGTCGCAATGATATGTAATCAATTAGGAGCTAGTGGTCTATGCGCGCAAAAAATCGTGTTTGTGTTTATACAATAGAAATATTACAAATAGGGATTCGATAAATTTGTAAATCTAAACAGGCAGATACAACAGTACAAAATCCTTTTCCGATCTGTTTGTCCACCGATTTTCTTTTTTGTTGGTTTAATAGCTATTGCTTAGTCTTTTCTCACCTTTACAAATAAAATGTGTCAAGAACGAGAAACTCTTTTGCATAAAATGAACCTAAATCGTGAGATGTTTTGAATTATGATCGAATTTTATTTGATGGGCCAACACTAGTAGATAAGAACTGTTCGAAAAATAATAATTTATTAAGCGTGAAATTTTAAATCAAAATCGGGAATATTTGTAATTATCGAAAAAAAAAGAACCATAACGCTAATTCATTATGAAAGCAATAATGTACCTTATTACTTGCGTAGGCTTAAGCGCTAGATTTCTTTGAAATAAAATCCGAACATACGATCTCGCCGATAACAAGAAGCTGTAGCCTACATATCTAATATTCAATTGGTTTGCACTTGTATAAACTCGTTTCGAAGTAAGCACGTAAACAAAGTAAGACGTAACAATAACTAGACCCATTACGTTCGTTCGCATCTCGCACATACACATCTATTTACAAAACAAACCCGCATGGTCACTGATAACAGTGATAACCACGTGACAGTCATAGACGCGACGGTAAACGGTAGCCGGTATCGCGTCCCCCGCGTCGTGGTCAAGCTGACATCGCTTATCGACTGATAGCCGAGTCTGTATGATGCCTCGCCTTTCACAACGATTGTAAGGTCATACTAAAATTAACCATGAGCGGAACGCATTTAGATTTTTTCGAGACAGTCTCTAATAGTGTGGGGGGTAATTTGTATTAGTGAAATCGGGCCGCGCTCAACTGTGACCATCGCACGTATGAAACTCACGCATTTTATAAACAACTCGCGCGTCTCCATTCGAACGCCGATATACGAGACTAGCTTTAGCCCGCGACTTCGTCCGCGTGGAATAGTTACTTTGGTATGACGCTAAATTTTACCCGCGACTTCATTTACGGAGAAGTAAGTATATTTCTGAATAATAGAATGTTAAGAAGCTATTAAGGTACTAAAATCATGCTTTTTAGCCGACTTCAAAAGAGGAGATTATTAGTGCTCCGTTCATATTGGTCTTAGCGTGATGTTATAATATCCTTCCTTAGCCTTCCTCAATAAATGGGCTATCTGACACTGAAAGAGTTTTTCAAATCGGACCAGTAGTTCCTGAGATTAGCGCGTTCAAACAAACAAACTCTTCAGCTTTATAATATTAGTATACGAGGTATATTATAGTAAGCAGCCTGATATTCTTAATGTCAGACTGGGTGGCGAAGTAGTGGCATTAATATGATTGCTGGGTCGTGGATTCCACCGCGGAGCATACGCTCGTAGCCTGCCCAGTCTGAGAAGGGCATTGTTGTATATTCGTCGTGCATATCGGACTGGACATGTCGCTAACACGACCGTCGTGGCTACGTTACCATATGTAGGCGTCCACAGACGCAGCCCACTCCTCGCCGGAATTTCTCAGTGGGTCGCGTTTCCGATCCGATAGTAGATACTACGCAGCACTGCTATTGCTAGGGCCAGTGTTAGCAACGCCTCCGGTTTGAGCCCCGTGAGCTCACCTACATGATAGGGTAACGTTGATATAGCCTCTCAAGGCTATCAGCATAGGTAGAAAATATGTAGGTGTATATTGGCGGTGTATTGCGTTCTGATCTAGCAGGCTGGTTCTGGTCCAGCGGGATATTCCGGAACACCAGCGGCACCGCCGGGTGGTGTGACAGGCTACCGTACTGTGACTACCTTGGGGTGAGCTTTGACCCTAGTGTTTACCGCGGTAACTCCAGCGTACTGGGGAGTCGCTCAGGGTGTCCGCCATCACCGATAAGAAAAGGCTCGTGGTCTTGATTCGTCTCGTCGAAGAGACTCGTTTGCTTATTGGCTGAGTCTTTAATATTAATAGTACATACATATAACAGTATCTTATTTCTATACTACAGGGATTCTTAATTTGGAGACAAATGAACGTGTGTCCCTAATTTTTTTTTCTTTTTATTGCCCTTGTAGGCAGACGAGCATACGGCCCACCTGATGGTGAGTGGTTACCGTCACCCATAGACTTCAGCAATGCTCGGGGCAGAGCCAAGCCGCTGCCTACAAAGCTTAGTGTCCCTCTAGTTCCTATCTCGAATGGTGGCAT